GGGTGGGGGGCTGCTGGACCTCAGTGGTGAGGCAAACACAGTGAGAGCTGGGACCAGGCACCTCTGCGGGGGGTAGGAGGACTGGGGCGGGGGAGGCCTCAGTGCCCTCCACGTGGGGATTCTGCTCAGGGTGTTCTTCAGGCTCCTTCCGTCCAGGGGCCCGGCCTGCTCCCCCTCGGCCTGAGTCCTGGTTTTGGAGAGAAGGGGCCTCATCAGCCGCCGGCGTTAGCCACGTCCCCACCCCCAGCGCCTTCCTCTGCACCCCCTGCACCTTCCTCTGCACCCCCAGCGCCTTCCTCTGCACCCCCTGCACCTTCCTCTGCACCCCCTGCACGCGGCCGATGGCCTCTGAGCCTTCTCCTCCGGGCCCAGCTCTGGTGCCAGCTTCACACCCTCAGGGTCAGATGTGGGTCGCAGCTCTAACCGGTTTGGCTCAGTGGATAGAGCATCAGCCTGGGGACTGAAGGGTCCCGGGGTCGATTTCAGTCAAGGGCATCTACCTTGGTTGCAGGCACATCCCCAGTTTTGGGGTGGGGGTGGGGTGCAGGAGGCGGCTGATCGATGTTTCTTGCTCATCGATGTTTCTACCCCTCTTCGTAAAAAAGCAATATATATATATATTTTTTTTTTTGATTTTTTTTTACAGAGAGGAAGAGAGAGGAATAGAGAGCCAGAAACATCGATGAGAGAGAATTATCGATCAGCTGCCTCTTGCACACCCCCTATTGGGGCTGTGCCCACCACCAAGGTACATGCCCTTGACCGGAATCGAACCCAGGACCCTTCAGTTTGCAGGCCGATGCTCTATCCACTGAGCCAAACCGGTTTTGGCCATATATATATTTTTAAATGTGGGTCGCAGGTGTCTTGAGGAGGCAGGACCTTTCGCTGGCCATTCTGAACCCCCCTCCCCCCCAGGCCTCTGAGCATCAGGGCAGCCTCCTGCCACGTGTTTCTAGGCAAAACCAGCGCAGGCCCCTGGCGCTCTCCGGCGCTGATCTGACACGATGTCCTCCGTGCTCTGGGGTTGTCTGGGGGGTGACTGCCTTTTGCGGAGGAATAAAGACCCGTTAGGTGGCAGGTGGCAGAAATCGCAAGTGCACGTCGCTGGAAAGCAGGAATGTGTCACACAGCCTGTGGAGTGCCTTCCAGCTCACGTGGCCTCCTCTCCAGCCCCCTGTCCCTACTTCTCCATCCACACGCGTGTCCTGCAGCCAGCTGCTGGACCCAGGAGTCACATCAGAGGGCATTTTGTGAGCTGACTGTCACGTCCCGCCGTTATTAAACATTAGATCATACCAACCTAAAATGAAGTGATTATACAAAAGTAAAATTAAAGTAACTCAGTGTTGATTCCGTCCTGATTATTTCACTGCATTTCACGCTGGCCTGTGCACTTGAGGTTGTTGGCATGGTGGTGTCTGTGCAGTGGAAATCCCAGCTGATGGTGTGCTGGCTTGAACGTGGCCGCTGGTGGGGATAGTTGCACCTTGGGAATTGGCAGACAGTGCAGGTCAGGGCTTGGTGTACGGTTTTGGTGGTTGTGTGGGGCAGCGGTCAGCAGACCTGTCCTGTGAAGGACCAGGGAATAAGTCCTTGCAGCTTCACGGGCCATGTGATCTCAGTTGCAGCAGCTCAGCAATGCTGCTGCTGCGGATAATATGCAAACACATGAGTGTGGCTGTTACAATAAAACTTTATATTTTTAAAAAAAAAATAGCCGAAGCCAGTTTGGCTCAGTGGTAGAGCATCGGTCTGCGGACTGAAAGGTCCCAGGTTCGATTCCGGTCAAGGGCATGTACATTGGTTGCGGGCACATCCCCGATGGGGGGTGTGCAGGAGGCAGCTGGTCGGTGTTTCTCTCTCATCGACGTTTCTAGCTCTCTATCTCTCTCCCTTCCTCTCTGTTAAAAATCAATAAAATATATTTAAAAAAATAATAAAAAAAAAAAAAAAACAAAAACCTTGGGCTGGATTTGGTCTGAGGGCCACAGTGTGCTGGGCTCCTGATCTGGACTTAAGAAAGTGGTGGAGAATCCGTTAATCAGTAAAGACTAAGCTTCAAATTGTTCCTTGTCTCTGAACTTGCAGAGATGGCAGCCACGGGGGGCGGAGGGGGGCGCAGGCAGGAAGCTGGGTGTTTCAAGGAGAGAGGATGAGACGTGTCGCCACCAGGAAGAAAAGAAATACTCCAGTCCTGGAAGGTTGTTACCTGTTCCCACCGAGAACTCCAGTCCCGTTCTGGCTACATTCTCTGTGGCTTCCCGCTTCACTCCCCTCCCCTTGTTACCGGCCCCACACCCAGAGCCACCGTCTGTGCTGATGCAGCCTGGAGCGCATGGCTGCGGATGCCGCGTGGCTGTGGATACCAGTGTTACAATAAAGCTTTATTGTAACACAGCCACACGCATGTGTTTGCCTATAACCCACAGCGTTGGATAGAAGCACTCTGAGATTCCGCTGGCCGTGCATGGAATTCACCACAAGGAGTCATGTGTGTTGTTTCTTCTAACTTGTGCTTCGCGTGTTTTATACCAGCACATTTTACTACAACTCTATATGTGCCCGTGTGCACACGTGCACACACGCACGCACACGCGTTTTCCTGGAGAGCCTGCCGCTGGGACTGGGGGAGCCTGCGCTGTCTGGGCTCAGGAGCCAGTCCCTCTGCCCCCATCCCCACGGCCCCTGGTCTCCCTCTTCTTACCACCTGCCCCTCAGTGCCTCCCCCAACAGCTCTGCCCTAGGGAGCTGCCCTCTGCTTAGTACAAACCGCCCCGGCTGCTCAGGCCTGCTTCACCCTTTCGAAGCCGTCCCCCTGCCTCTGGTCTTGTCGCCGGCAGCTCCCAGTGCACCCTCGGCTCCGCACACCCCCATAGCCACAGGAAATGCACCCTGTGGAGCCCCAGCAGGACACACCTACAGCCCCAGACTGTGGTCTGTCACCCCGCGGTCCCCCCGCCTCCGTAAGGGCCCCCCGGACCCGGACAAGGGGAAGGACCCCCACACTGCCTGTCCCTCCTCGGCGCCTCCTGCCAGCCCAGCCTCCTTCCTGGTGACCGTCCACACACACACACATCCCCCCCCACACACACACCACACACACACACACACCACACACACGCACACCACACACACATACACACACATCCCCCCTACACACACACACACACACACACACACGCCCACACATCCCACACACACACACACACACACATCCCCCCCCACACACACCACACACACACACACACCACACACACACACACACACACACATCCCCCCTACACACACACACACACACACACACACGCCCACACATCCCCCCTTACACCCACCACACACACACACTATACACACACACCACATACACACACACCCACACACACACACACCACACACACACACTATACACACACACCACACACACACACATCCCCCACACACCACACACACACACCACACACACACACACACTCACACACACACATACACACACACATCCCCCACACCACACACACACACCATACATACACACACACACACCACACACACATTCACACACACAACCATACATACACACACACACTCACACACACACACTCACATACACTCACACTCACACATACACGGTGCTTTTCCCTTCCCAGAATTCCTTGGGGGTGCCCTGTAACCCATAATGTGATGAGGAACCACACACAGAACTGCAGGATTGTGGTTTTAGCAACTTTAAAAGCCTTTTACTTCCTTTTCAATAATGTGTGTGCCGGGAACATTGAAGCAGTGGCTCAAACTTCATTCATTCATTCATTCATTCATTCAGCAGGCCCTTTTGCCCCATCCAGTGACAGAACAGTGAACCAACACAGCCCTCACCCTCATGGGCTCTCAGCAGTGACATGTCCTAAAACCTCAGGGTGGCATGAGTTTTTAAAAGGTAATTCTTAAAGCCCTAGCTTGGTTCAGTGGATAGAGCGTCGGCCTGCGGACTGAGGGGCCCCGGGTTCGATTCCGGTCAAGGGCTTGTGTATCTTGATTTCAGGTACATCCCCAGTAGGGGGTGTGCAGGAGGCAGTTGATTGATGTTTCTCTCTCTCCCTTTTCCTTCTTCTCTGTAAAAAAATCAATAAAATATATATATTTTTAAAAGATAATCCTTTATTACGACAAAACAATTTGACAATATATTGGGGAAGAGGGGACAAAAGTAGGCTTACCGTTGTGAGTATGCAAAAACAGTTCACACTGTTGTATTATTTATTAATCATTGTATTATTTATTAATCATTGTATTATTTATTAATCATTGTATTATTGTATTATTGTTGTATTATTTATTAATCATTGTATTATTTTCTGTAATAACTGTAAGCCTACTTTTGCCCCACCCTGTATATTAACTTCCCAGATAAATAACTGGGTAGAGTAAGCATTTAAAATGGGCAAACTCCTTGATACTTCGTCATACCCTTTAACGGTCCTGTGCCTTTGTGACTGCTAGGAGGTCACGCTCCCTCCTGCCTGCCTCCCCGCGTGGGGGTGTGGACACTGGGGCGCTGGCCTGCGGCCTGCTTGGAAGGGCTCAGGCTCAGGGTCACCCCTGCCATTGCCGTGGGGGTACAAATTCAGCTCCAGAAAAGTGAGCCTGGCGCTGCTCCGGCTCCTCAGAGGCCCCTTCAGCCCTCACTAGGCCCTTCCCTCCCCACAGAGCCCCCAGGACCTGGGGGATATGTCCCCCCAAAGCCCAGATCCCCTTCCAGATCCTCCCTGCCCGGGCAACCCCAAGCCATCAGAGTGTGCACCCAGACCCGGGCTGGCCAGGGCTGGCTGGTAAGCGGTGGGGTGGGCCGAGCGGGGCTGGACGGGGCTTTGAGGCCTCTCGCCCCCCTTTTCTCCGGGGACACTCGGGAGCGGGTTGTCCTTGTCTGAGAGCGTCCAGTCACTCCCCCGCTGGCTGCCCGGGCGCCGGGCCTGATGCCGTGCCCTCTGCTGCTTATCCCTCAGCTGGGGGGTCCCCCTGGCCATCACCGTGGCCGCCGTCGCCCTGAAGAAGATCGGCTACGATGCCTCGGACGTGTCCGTCGGCTGGTGCTGGATCGACCTGGAGGCGGAGGACCGTGTCCTGTGGATGCTGCTGACCGGGAAGCTGTGGGAGCTGCTGGCCTACGTCACGCTGCCCGTGCTCTACCTCCTCATCCGGAAGCACATCAACAGGGCGGTAGGTGCCCCGGCCGCCCCCCGCGGCCCCGCGGCCCACTGTGCCTGCTGCGGGCTCGGCCACCGTAGGGGATAGAATTAGTATTGGAGAGCCCTAGCCGGTTTGGCTCAGTGGATAGAGCACTGGCTCCTGGACTGAAGGGTCCCGGGTTCGATTCCAGTCCCGGGCACGGACCTGGTTGCAGGTTCCCCGGCCCTGGGCGGGGTGCGTGCAGGAGGCAAGCAATCAATGTGTCTCTCACATCGGTATTTCTCTCTGCCCCTCCCTCTCCCTTCCACTCTCTCTAAAAATCAGTGGGAAAATATCCTCGTGTGAGGATGAACAACAGGACTAGTAATGGAGAGCTTGGGAGGCGTCATGGCTTGTCTGGTTTGCTGACCGCACGGTCCTGTCGGGAGCGGGTCCGGGGACTCCTGCTTTGTGGGTGAGGAAAGGGGGGCTGACAGAGGTGAAGGGCTCCCCAAACCCTCTCAGCTCCCAAGGAGAGAGCACCAGCCTGGGTGCCGGGCCACAGCCCGCTTCTGCCCCCTCCTGGACAGCCCTGGGGTGGCTCAGCGGTGAGAGGACTTGAGATGAGAGTGAGTGGTGTCCCAGTAAGTGTACTGGGAGGGAGGCCACGGGCCTCACCCTACTGAACCGGTCACTCACCTCCTTACCCCTGGGGGTTCGGGTTAACATCGCAGCTGGTCTGCTTTGCAGGCACACAGGCGGCCATACACCCACACGCTGGGCCAGACGTCTCCTGACCCCCGAGGGCCGGCCGCAGATTCCGGGAAGAATGGTCTTCCTGTGACGGGCTGGTCGAGCTGCTCCCTGGGCTCAGCTGCTGGTTCTGAGTGTGAGGCTGGGCTTCCTCCCGGCCCAGGCAGACTGCCGCCAGGAAGGGCCGCGGTGACTCGCCCGCCGATCGGCTCGGCCATGTGCTCTGAGCACGCTCAGTGAGCTTCTACCTGCCAAACCGCTGTGTGCGGTGGGGACCCAGGCGGGATCCTGTCCGAGGGAGAGGCAGGAGTGTGAGTCGTTACGATAAAGATGCTCATTGTGATAACAGATGCTCCGTGACCAGAGGCCAGAGCAGGAAGGCAGGTGCCCGTGACACCGGATGTGGCCTCCCTCCCGGCTCCCGCTGCAGGGGTCTGAGTGCTCAGACGGGACACGCAGCCAGGGCCTCCCTGCCGCTCAGGGCAGACTGTTGCCCCGCAGCCATTTCTGGGGATGTGGGCGCTCCCGGCAGCTGTGTGACACCTGATCCTCACCCCGATTCCCACCCGCACGCACACTCCTGGTTCTCATTTCACTCTGACCTGGCCGGATGCTCGTCCCTCCTGTCCCCCTCTGGCCCAGCTGGAGAGATACCCGCAGGGGGTGCCCTCCCACCTCCTCCTGTTCCCACTGCCCTAGGGGGGCTCCGGGCTCCGGGATGAAGACTCCCAGAGTTCTACCGGCTCTGCCCAGGGCGCCGCTCCAGAGCTGGCCTTCTGCGTCTCTCCTCCTCCCTGCCCTTCCTGTAACGGCAGGAAGTCTGAGACCATTGGGCCTCAGGAGTGTGAGACATCCACGCGGAGATGTGGCACAGGCCGGGGATCGAGGAGAACGGAGTTTGGGGGAGAAGCTGGGCTTGAGAGGGGAGCCTCGGGCTCGTGCAGGGGGGAGCCATGCTGGGAGCCTGGGCTGCAGCGTGCAGGGGAAGGCGCTCCACACCTCACTGCTCCCCCCCCTGCGAGTCAGGCCTGGGAGGACGGCAGCCCCCGGGCAGCTGCGGGCGCCCGGTCCGCTCACGGGTGTCCCTCCCAGCACCAGGCGCTGTCCGAGTACCGGCCCATCCTGTCCGAGGCGCACCGGCTGCAGCACCACAGCTCCATGGCGGACAAGAAGCTGGTGCTCATCCCGGTCATCTTCATCTGCCTCCGCGTCTGGAGCACCGTGCGCTTTGTGCTGACCCTGTGCGGCTCCCCGGCCGTGCGGGCCCCGGTGCTGGTCGTTCTGCACGTAGGTAGCTCTGCCCGCCCCCTCACTCCCCGCACCTCCACCCCCCGGCTGCTCCCAGCGGCCGTGTCAGAACCCTCCCCCGCAGGGTGGGCACATCCCAGTGCATCAGCCAACTCAGGGCTGCCCGGGGCTCGGCTCCCTGGTGCCTTCCTGCCGGCCGTGGCGGAGAGCCTGGGGGAGAGAAGGTGGAAGGTCAGCAGGCTCTAGGCAGCCCCCCGAGTGTGCATCTGGGTGCTGCCCAGAGGCCTGGGAGAGGGGTGCTCCTGGGTCCTTCCCAGCCAGGACCCCTGGAGATGGGGGTGGGCCGGGTCTGCACGCTCAGACCCGCCGCCGGCCCACATGCAGGGTCCCGGCAGCCGGGGTGCAGGGTAAGGTCTGGGGCCTGCAGCACCTGCCTGCCCCCCGGCCTGTGTGCTGAAGACCCCCTGCAGCCCCGGCACCCCTGCCCCTCCTCTCGCCCCTGCAGGGGATCGGGAACACGTTTCAGGGAGGTGCCAACTGCATCATGTTCGTGCTCTGCACCCGCGCCGTCCGCACCCGGCTCTTCTCCCTCTGCTGCTGCCGGTCCCCGCCGCCCGCCGAGAGCCCGGCCGCGCCCAAGGCCTCTGCGGCCTCCAGGACGGGGGACTCGGGGACCCGGGGGGACCCCCGCGAACTTCCGCACACCTGAGCCCCCTCCCGGGTCTGTGCGGGCGCTCCTCCCGGGACCACGGCTCTGCCCCGCTGCAGGGCGGGGAGGGGGACTGCGGTCAGAGCTCCTGAGGCCTGCGGAGCGGCGGCCACCACCAGCTTCTACCTCTGGACCCGAGGCAGCAGGTGCCCCACTGTCGCTGTGCTCGGCGTCGGCCCGCAGGAGGTGGCCGTGAGACTCGGACACCAGGGCACGCGATCACTGCCGGGTCAGCGGCCTCTGGACCACAGGGCACTGTTTACAGTCTGAGGACCCCCCCCCCCCCCCGGAAAAGCACCATGGACCCTCCCGAGTCAAACGCCAGGGGGCGCCAGAGAGTGGCCCCACCTGCATACCGTGCAGCAGATTCCCGGCTGGTCAGGGAGTGGACCTGCCCCCGGAGCGGAGCGTGGCTGTTCTGGGGGGGCTTTGCCAGCCAACAAGAGCCGGGCACCTTGAACCAGGGCCCGCAGCCTGGGACCCTCCCAGCCTCCCGGGTGCCAGCCTTGGTGTAGGTGGCACCTGAGTTTCCAGCCCCGGCCAGAGCCCGGACTCAGTTGCCTCCTCCAGGGCCCGGCCGTGGCGCGGGGATGAGGACGGCCGTGGCGAGCACCCCCGGGGGTGCCCAGGGGGGCAGGTCTGTGCTGTGAGCACCGGCTGGCCGTGTCAGGAGGGGTCTGCTCACCCCCTAGGTCAGTCCTTACAGGAAAGGGGACCAGAACACTGATCCCTCCCTGGAGGCGCAGGTTTGGGAGCTGGTGGGGGAAGTGACATATGGGTCACAGAGGATAACTTTCGTCTAATAGAAAAAGGACTTAAAAGAAGCACCTGTAACTCTGTGTTCTGTGGCTCTCCTGCCAGCCCTTTAACGTTCTCGGGAGTCACAGAAGACCACCCTAAGGAGATGCTTAGATGTCGCCACAGGAGCCTTGGTGGAGCCTCTGGGGGCCAGAGCCTTAGTGGGGGTGGAGCCTCAGTGGGGGCGGAGACAGTGGGGTGGGTGGAGCCTTAATGAGGGGCGGAGCCTTAGTGGGGACGGAGACAGTGGGTGGGTGGAGCCTTAGTGGGGGCGGAGACAGTGGGTGGGTGGAGCCTTGGTGGGGTGGAGACAGTGGGTGGGGGGAGCCTTAGTGGGGGTGGAGACAGTGGGTGGGTGGAGCCTTAGTGGGGGCGGAGACAGTGGGTGGGTGGAGCCTTAGTGGGGGCGGAGACAGTGGGTGGGTGGAGCCTCAGTGGGGGCGGAGACAGTGGGTGGGTGGAGCCTTGGTGGGGCGGAGACAGTGGGGTGGGCGGAGCCTTAGTGGGGCCAGTTACCTGACAGGTGTTACTCCCTGGGGCTCCGTGAGGACCCGCCACACGGGATGATTTCGGAGCCTATAAACGGTTCTGGGTTAAAACCAAAGCCCGCCACACTGGGTTCCCGTTTCACTCCGAAAGGCCGCGTCTGTGACAGGAAGAGACCCTGAAAGCCAGACCGTCTGCAGAGCTGGCCCAAAGCGCTCCTTTCCCGGCTCCTTTGAGTTCCTTTATGAAAACCAGCAGCAGGTACGCACCTCGGAGGATCCGAGGACGCGCTGGGCAGCCCCCCGGCAGAAAGGGCCTGCTAAGGAGCGTTCGGGGGTCCCCGATGTCACTCAGGTCACGCCACAGCCCGTCCCGTCCGGGCCGCACGTTAGCTCCCAGGCCGGAGCGGGGCAGGGAGCTGCTCGCTGCAAAAGGAGGTGCTTCCCGGCTGAGGCCGAGGCTGGGCCGCCGGGAAAGTTGCTGGAACAAGTCCTGCCCCGAAGGGCCCTCACCCCCAATCCCCCCTCCCCAGTCCCAGGCTCAGCCGGAGTTCACCCAGACAGGCTACAATCAGTAACAGCCAGCAGGGGACCCGGGAGCTCAGGAGACATGGCTGGTGCCCTGTGCACCCCCAAGTTCTCATCCCAGCATTTGGAGCCCCGCTGTGCTGCTGCTTCTGTCCACCGCCCCACCGGGCATCTCCTCCCTGCTGCCCACCTGCCTGCTGCCCACCTGCACTGCAGCTGGTGAAGGTGTTGTTGTGAGCGGTGGGGCTGTGGCCGGCGAGGGCTTGTCCCAGGGCCTGGGCCTGAGGCCTGGGAAGCAGCATCGCCTGTGAGAGCCGGCAGCTGGGAGGGCGTTGGGAACTGGAGGGTGTGGGGCTGCGGGAATGGGTCATACAGGGCCGTGGAGAGCCCCGGGGGAGGCAGGAGCGCGCACCGTGTGTGTGTTCCTTTGACACCGGCTCCTCATCCGTGTCCCTCATGCTGATCCACCTCCACCCCCAGGGACAGGCCTGTCCTCAGCTGGAACAGGTGCTGTGGACTCACACACCCTCAGAAGCTTGGTCTTTATCATTATTATTTTAATCCTCTCCATATGATATATTTATTTTTTATTAGTTTTTAGAGAGGGAGGGAGAGAGGAACATGAACTGGCTGCCCTTTGCACGCGCCCCGATTGGGGACTGAACCTGCAGAACGGGTATGTGCTCTGACCCCAGACCCTTAGGTGCTGAGAAGATGCTCCCACCCACTGAGCCTCACCGGCCAGGGCTGACCCCTGGTCTTTCAATCAGGTTTACCAGGCACTTTCTGCCTCTTTTTGCTTCAGAGTTGTTGTTTTTGTTTGTGTGGTGTGACTTTTTAATAAAGATTATTACTTGGCCCCGGACTGAGGTTACAAACAGCGCTCCCCACACGTCCACGACGGGAAGGAATATTTTTACAAACGTCCCTTTTGTGGCGTCACAACGTGGAGGGGAGAGGTTTCTTTGCAAAACAATACTGAACACCCTGACCACTTAGGTTAAGGCCAAAGGCCTGCTGTTTTAAATGAAATAAAATAATTATGTTCCCTTTGTGTGTTTGGTAGTCGGATGGCCTGTGATGGGGGAGGGGAGGCAGGGTGGCTCCCACGGACCTGTGCGAGGGGGGCCTCCCCGGAGCCTCCCACGTGGGGGCCTGGACATGGCGTCTGGACCCTTCCCTGTGGGGACGGGGAGTCAAGTATGCGGGGACACGGCTTTAGAACACAGAGGCCCAGGCCCTGTCCCCTAGGGTACCAACAGGCCCAAGTCCCAGGGACCCACGGCTTGGGGCCAGACTCTCATGAGGGGACACCCTAGCGTTGAGTCCTCCCAGCCCGCCTCTGTAGGTCCTCCCAGCGGCAGCTCCAGGCTTGGGGGTCAGGGACAGCGGGCCACACGGCTCTTCCGTGAGGGCAGCGCCTGGTTCTGAGTGGGTCTGCCCAGCCCATGCGACCCCGCCTTCCAGTCTCCTTTTTCCTCTTGCTATATCCTGTGCACTTTGCTCCTCCAAAAATGCCGCTTGTTCATTTGTTCTACTTTCTGGGTTTTGTGAAGTTAAAAATACATTAACTGTCAAGAGAAGGAGAAGACAGGCCACGGACGGAGAAAATATTTGCAAAAGACACAGCAACGCGTCTCCATGACAGGGTACCCGTGGAGAGGCACACACAGGCTCTGCTCTGATGTGGTACACGTGTCCCTGGAGAACCCCGTGTCCTCCCCTGTGGCGAATAGAAAGAGCAGGGATGCAGAGAAAACGGGTTGAGACAGGCCACTCGGATCCGTGCAAGTTCTTAACCAGAATTCAAAAAACAAGTGCCGTTTAATGAAGTCAGCAGCCGGGGGAAGTCTCCACTGATCTTCACAGAACCTCAGGGGTCCATACTTTCTCCTTTAAGATTAGGGTCTTTAGGCCATTCATTCCCAAGAGAGAGCCTTTCTCTCCAGGGTCTTGTCCCAGCATTCAGAAGGGTTCAGCAATCTGGAGAAAGGCTGTGTGTGGATGAAGTAGGAATCCAGAGATGAAAGATAGTTTTGAAAGGCATTGGGGGTCAGAGGAGCTTCAGCTCAAGGGGCTAAAGATTTCCCTTGACTCAGGACCCTTGCTTTTTATTAACACAGTTTGTCCTAAGGCAAGGTGGAGATAATACCCTTCAAAGGGTAGGGTTTCCGTCCAGAGTCCATTGTCAGATTGGGGAATAGCCTACGGCTGTTCAGGTGTTTGGCCAGGAGGAGGCAGTAACATGTAGACTAAGATGCCCTGAGCTGTCTGATAGCAGACAATCATCCTATTCAGGTTTGGGGGAAGTGCCTTTCCAGCCTCCAACAGGTAATTACATGTGTGACTCCGCCCTTGTTGAGCCCCCAAGTTTCATCAACCTTTTGTTAAAACTCTTGTAATGATGACGTGCTGGAATTGGCTCCTGGCACTTTCATCAAAAAGTTAAACATAACCCGGGCCACAGTCAATAAAAATGTCTTCACAGCTTCTCCAAGGGTTAGGCTCCCTCCCCGTTCTCTGTCCCAACAGGTTTTCAGGCAAATGCTTGATGGTTCTATCAGTGAGAATCAGGCTCAGCTGCAAGCGACAGGAAACAAAATGGAGGAGCATTTCGTGTTGAGTTCAGGCAGTGGTCCTGGGCTGACATAGTGCCCCACAGGGCAAGGGACCCAGACTCCTACCATCTTGTTCCTCTGTTCTGTGTGGCCTCAACCACGTGGTCAGTGCCGGGGGCACCCTCATTTTAGGCAGCAGGGGTGGAGAAAGGGGCAGAGAAGAAAGCAAGGTTCCTGGAAGCCACCACGGGACACGGCATATGAGGCATTAGACAGAACCAAGTCATGTGTCCACCCAAGTACCGGGAGGAAGGGGAGAGGCAGTCTTTATTTCGGGCAGCTGAGCAAATGGAATTGGGAAGCCACAGCAGTCTACAACTGAAGCCCATGGCAAAACTTTAAAATTCCAGAACATTCCTAAGTAGAGGTGAGACCGCCGGTGACCTGAAGTGCTGGCACCATTGTCTGGTCTCAAAACAACCCAGGGATGGCCAGTCTGCTGTGAGGTGCTAATTCAACATGTTACGTTCTGGCTAAGTTTTCCTAGGTAAACTTCTTTCAATTCTGAAACAGCTTCAATTTCCAAAAACATATCGTTTGTGTGTGTTTTTTCCTTTTCATTTTATTCCAGCACTAATCTGGAAATGCTCTTATTTCCCCTCCGCATCATACTGTCAGTCACCAAGTCCCATCAACTTTACATCCTCTCTCTCAAATGTGTCCTCTGATCTCCTGCACCCTCATCTGCCAGCTGTTCTACAGCAAGGAACTGCCCCCCTTTCCTCTCCCCCAAACCCACCCGCCTCTCGTCCCCCTCGAGGGTTGAGTAGCCTTTAAGAACACAAACCTGAGCACTCTCCAGAGCTCTTAACTCTGCCTTCTCTCTGCTCCTTAACAAGACCCACAAGGGCTAACTGGAGTCCAGCCCCGCCCCCTCACCAGCTTCCTCTCCCTCCACTCTTCCTCTCTGCTCTGTGTTCTTGAGCCATGCCGACCTTACAATTTCTTTAACACATTTTTATGGGTTTCAGGGAGGGAGGGAGGGAGGGAGGGAGAAGCATCGACGATGAGAGAGAATCATGGACCGGCTGCCACCTCCTGGGGATCTAGTGCTCAACCTGGGCCTGTGCCCTGACTGGGAATCGAACCGTGACCTCCTGATTCAGAGGTGGAAGCTCAAGCACTGAGCCACACCGGCCGGGCTGACCTTACAATCTCTTGACGGCATCACACTCTCTTCTACCACAGGGCCTTGGCACCAACTGTTCCCTGTCTGGGAGGTTCTCTCTACCGCCCCGTCCCCTACCCCCTTTGCCTGGGTAAGCTCTCTGCACCCTTCCTTCCCATCTCGGCTCAAGCTCGCTTTTCTAAGGAAGTCTTTCTTGACCACCCCCACCCGTTCCCCGGTCTTCGGAGCCCGTGTGTAGCTGTAAATTCATCAATGTGCTTATTTGACCAAGTAGTGTCTCCTCGCGCAGAGTTAAGTCGCAGGAGGCCAGGGCTGTGTTTATCCTTTGCGCCCAGTGCACCCCCTCTGCCACAGTAGCAGGCTCCGTAAAATAAATGTCAGCCTATGCGAGGGCTCGAGTCATCCGGAACCCCACGTCCCAGCGGAACCACTGCTTCCAGATTCTGGCAGGTCCTCTCCAATCGTGTGCTGACACATTCACGTTTCATAACATAGTCGATGCCAGTAATAAACAGTGAGAGCGATTTGGGAGTGGAGATCTGAGGCCGGCATCCTCAGGTCAGCATCCTCGGTGAGCAAGGGCGCTCGGCCAGGCTTTCCCCGCTGGGAGGTCAGCGAGAGGACCTAAGGCAGTTCCTCTGGGAAAGAGGAGCCCTCAGACGATGGGGCCCTAAGGTGACGTCCCTGGGATGGATCACTGGGGGGGGGGGGGGGGGGGGCGGGAAGGAAAAGTCCGGAAGGCCTTGCTGGAATCAGGTGTGGCCCCTGCAGTTATCCACTGTCCCCTGGACTTGAAAAATGATTCTTTGGCCCTGTGACCGGTGGGGCTCAGTGGATAGAACGTCAGTCTGCGGACTGAAAGGTCCCAGGTTCGATTCCGGTCAAGGGCATGTACCTTGGTTGCAGGCACATCCCCAGTAGGGGGTGTGCAGGAGGCAGCTGATCGGTGTTTCTCTCTCATCAATGTTTCTGACTCTCTGTACTTCTCCCTACCTCTCTGTGAAAAATCAATAAAATATATATTTTTTTAAAGAAAAATGAGCCGAGACCAGTGTGGCTCAATGGATAGAGCATCAGCTTGGGGACTGAAGGGTCCCGGGTTCAATTCCGGTCAAGGGCATGTACCTTGGTTGCGGGCATATCCCCAGTGGGGGGTGTGCAAGAAGCAGCTGATTGATGACACTCTCTCGTCGATGTTTCTAACTTCTCTCTCTCCCTTCCTCTGTAAAAAATCAATAAAATACATTAAAAAAAAAAAAAAAGAAAGAAAGAAAAATGATTCTTTGGCTCCCATCAGAGGTCGTTTCAAAACGCAGCCAGTTCCCTGGAAATAGGAACACGCGTTCCTGGGACCCCCTGAGCCTGCTATCGGGCTGCACACCAGGCCGGGGCTAGTCCCTGCCCTGTGAGTCCCCTCCCGCGGCCGTCCCTCTGGTCCGCGGGGGACCGGGTCGGGGCGGGGGGAAGGGGGGCCCGAGGCCAGGCCGCGGGAGGGGCAGCGACCCCGCAGGCTCTGGCTCCGGTGGGTAGGAAACCAGCATGAAAGTTCTAGAAACCAAAACACCACGTGCGGGGCGAGCCGGACCGCACCCCCAGGCCAGCGGGCGCAGGGCCTGGAAGGAGCCGGTGGGGACCCCCTCCCCCGCCCCCGACCAGGGGCCAGCCCGCCCCATCCTCCCCCACCCCCGCCCCCGCCCCTGCCCCCGCCCGGAGCCTCTGCCCCCGCAGGCCCCTGGGCCGGGCCGGGCTGGGGCTGCGGGGTCCCCCAGGCTCCTGGGCGGAGGAGCCGCTGCGGCCGCGCCCCGATCCGCGCCCCGCGCCCCCGGCGGGACCGCATCGCGCCCGGGTCCGCGCGCCGCCCGCCGCAGGCGTTGGTGACGACAGCGCGGGGCTCCCTGGGCGGCAGGAGAGGTACCGCCGCCCGCCGCCCGGAGGGGCCCCTGGGCCTGGCTCCCGTGGGGAAGGGGAGGCGGGGGGGGGGGGTCTGCATCCCCGTCACCCCCCACCGGGCGCGGCTCCCCAGGGCCAGGCGCGGGGAGGCGGGGAGGACGTGGGCGGGGGCGGGTGTTCCGGTTCCCCCCACTCCCTCCCCGGCCTGACTTCTGCAAACGTGGGACCCTGGTTTTTGTTTGCACCCCTGTGTCCTCCCCTGCCCTCCCCGATGGCCGACCTCCCCCCTCCCACCGGAAGTGCATTTTCCCTGGAGACGTTTTATAACTCTCCCAGACAATTGCCAGCCGGCGGCCTTGCCAAGCTTTAGGTGGAAATCGTCTCTTCGGCCGGTCCGTCCTCCCTTTTATTTGTTTATTAGACATACGTTTATTGATTTCAGAGAGGAAGGGAGAGGGAGAGAGAGAAACACCAATGATGAGAGAGAATCATTCATGGATCAGCTGCCTCTGCACACCCCACACTGGGGATCCGTCTGCAGCCCCTGATTGGGAATCAAACTGTGACCCCTTGGTTCATAGGTTGATGTTCAGCCACTGAGCCATGCCTGCCTGGTCAGTCCTCCCTTTTAAATAGGGACATAGGGACCACCCACCCCTGCAACACACACACGTGCACACACGCGCATACACAGGCACACAGACACGCGCGTGTGCGCACACACACCCACCCCTGCAACACACATGCGCACGCACACACACACACGCACACACACACAGGCACACATGCACGCACATGCACACTCACGCAGACACAGGCACACGCGCACACACAGGCACACGCACACACACACTCTCACACACAGGCACACGCGCGCACGTGCACACACACACACACAGGCACACACAGGCACGGGAGTTACTACACCGTCACCCTCTTCACAGTCCCCCGCTCGGCGGAGCCCCACCACACTCCCCATGGTTGCTGCTGAGGCCGGAGATGCGCCCGCCCCCCAGGTAGGTCACTGAGGGCGAAGGAGGCGAAGCCATGGCCGAGGGATGGGCGCTGTGCACACGCGGGCGCTGTCCTGGCAGCCGCCGGGGACTTTGCTCTGGATTTTGGCCGGGGCCGCTGAGTACGTGCCCGCAGGGGTCTGGCGGTGGCCTGGCCACGTGTGGAGCACCCAGACCAGCCGCCGTGCCTCACCCTCCTTGCCCTGCTGATAAAGGGCTCGGGAAGATTTGATTGCATGTTCAATGGTGATCATTACACGAGAAATAGCGGCCGCTTCTGAAGGAAAATAAACCCTCCGAGGAAGTGCTGCATGGGCAGAGGGGCACAAGCTGAGCCCGGGTAGAGACGGGGGGGGAGGGGGGGGAGGGTGGCGGGGGGGGAGGGGGCTGGCTGCCTGGCAGGGACCACTTCCTGCAGCCACTCTGGCTCCCTTGACCAGGGCTGAGGGGACGGCTGCTCTTGCTTTCTTCCCATGCGTTTGTGACAGAAATAACCCTCCAGCCACTCGCCCCGGGCCTGGCTGGCGAGGCTCTGGCCGTGGGGACCGCAGACCGTGTGCCCACCAGGAAGGCGGCTGTGTGTGGCCATGTGAAGGAGAAGTGAGAGGAGGCGGCCCGGGTTCCGGAAAGGGTTACTGGGCTCGGCTATAAAACCGCGGTTGGATTGGCCAGGACCTGGCGGGCCAAAGTGCAGCAGGTTCCCTGTCTCCGGCAGAGCCTCCGCTGTCCTGGCTGAGAGCAAGTGAGCGGCACAGTTTCCTGAGCGAGGATGGAGGAGAAGGAGAGCAAGACCAAGAGGGAAGGGGTAAGTGGCTTCCGGGGAAGGCGGGGAGCAGCCCCCCGCGGGCAGCCTTGCAGGGGGGCCTCCTGGGAGCTCGGGCTGGGGGAGCCCTGTTTCGGGTGACCTGCCCTCACCGGTCACCCAGCATCGGGCTTTTTCGGGGACTAGAGAAGGGAGGCGTTTGGGGCGCTGGGATCTGCGATCCTTTGGGAATCGTGCTGCTGGAGCAGCTTGACAAGTACCTGCAGCCAAATTGAAGGGACTCGGGGGGGTTCGTTTGTCCCAACTCCCTTCACCCCAAGAAGCTGAGGTGTAGGGACCCCAACACCAGCCACAAACTCCTCAGACATGGCTGGTGAGGGCTTTTCCTCTTTTGTTTTGATTTTGGCGTCAGACTTTTGCAGTGAACCTTTTCAGCAGGTAACATGAAGACGCAGAGAAGATGCTGCGAGAGTTGAATGTAATCCTCGGAAAGTTGAAAGACCATCGGAAAACACAGATATTTACATTTCGATTCATAACAGTAGCAAAATGACGGTGATGAAGTAGCAACGGAGATAATGTTATGGCTGGGGGTCCCCACCACACGAGGAGCTGGATTAAAGGGCCGCGGCGTTAGGAAGGCTGGGAACCGCTGCTCTGAAGGTCTAACAGCAGGTCCAGAAAAACCTTTGTCTCTCTCTCATCATCTAAAAGGGAGTCTCCGCTGCAGGTGTGAATTGCATTCAACCCTCGCAGCATCTTCTCTGCGTCTTTATGTTACCTGCTGGAAAGGTTCACTGCAAAAGTCTGAGGCCAAAATCAAAACGAAAGAGGAAAACCCCCTCACCTGCCATGTCTGAGGAGTTTGTGGCTGGTTTTGGGGTCCCTACACCTCAGCTTCTTGGGCACAAACGAACCCCCCTGAGTTATGAAGTAGCAACGAAAATAATGTTATGGTTGGGGGTCACCACAACACGAGGAGCTGTGTTAAAGGGCCGAGGCATGAGGAAGGTGGAGAACTGCTGCTTTATGGCCTCTTGCTGGAGGAAAATGCGTAGGCAGACAGGTAATATGCATTTATGAATGCTTTTCAGGCCTTGTATTTTGTTCACCACAGCAGCGTCTGCTTATATTTATGGGAGGAGAAGTCCGTAGCTGGGCAGATTATTGTTCATTCGGTTATGATGGCGAGACCCTGGCCACAGGCCGGTTCGGAGCACGCTCTGTGCGGGAGGTAGAGGCACCTGGAATTCATTCCTGCTCCGGGTGGGGACTTGGGCAAGTTCTGTAACTGCTCTGCGCCCCAGTCTTCTCATCTGGAAAGTGGGTATAATAACCATGCCATCGCCTCGGGCTGCTGGGACCGTTACATGGCAGAGTGCATGTAAATGACCTGTCACACAGTGGATTCCTCATATGTGTCCTGACTTTTTGGTCATCGTGTAGAGCAGGGCACTGCTGACCTCTGGGCCGGGTGATTGATTCTCCGCTGTGGGGGCTCCCTGGGTGCTGGGGGTGATGGGCGGGGACAAGGAGGCGGGGGGAGCACCCCTGGTCTCCCTCCCCGGCCGCCAGTGGCACCCCCTCCCAAGGAGAATCACTGCTTCCGAGGTCGCTGAGCAGCGGCACCTGGATTATCTTCTCTGATTCCCACAACTAAGGCAGTGCTGGTCCTGTGAGCCCCGCTGCTCTATCGAAAAGGGACTGGAGGCCACAAGGACTGAGGGGTCTGGGGAGGTCACGGGAGGCCCTGGTCTGGCCTCTGTCCCCTCTTCCAAGAGCAATGCACTGCCCAGGCGTATCCCCAGGTGAGTGCCCAACATGGAAACGCCCCCGCATGGTGGTGCCTAAAAGGGAACAATACATCGGAAGAAATAATTAACATGTCCACAGGCAAAAGGTATTGGCTGATCACAGCTTCCTGCCCCCTCAGTTCTCCGGGGAAGGAGGCCTCCAGCCCCCAGGGCAGAGCAGCGCCCCACCCCCACCCCCCGGGGCCGCCTGAGGGTGGACCTGCCCCTTTGGGCGCGAGCTGAGCTTCCTGGGAGAAATCAGAGCAAAGCTCTTCCACGGGTGACTCGTTATAAGATTCTGCAAATGATTAAGCTCAGCGGAGGGTGGTTTGGGAGCCAAGGAGCAGGGAGGGCCCGGCGGGGCGGAGGCTGTGGGGAGCTGGCCGGGCTGCCAGGACCGGCCCCGCCGGCTCTCTGTCCCGGTGGCTGTGTGACCACGTCCTCCTGACCTCTGGGTCCTCATATGTAACGGGAGAAGCATCCCTCTGATGGGCCTCAGGGACTTCCTGCCAGGAAAGACTTTTAGCCAAAAGGAAACAGTAACGTGGGTTAGAGAGAAAGGCCTAAGTGCTTTGGAAATGAGAGTGCATGTTTGTGTGGGTGGAGGGACCTCCCTCCTCCCCCCCCCCCCAAGCAGTTCAATGGCATTGAGCGAGCAGCTTTCCTGCGGTCCTCCCTGTTAATGATTAGCGGCATAGGTGTGGCTGAGCGTTTTATTCGCCGGGCGGAGCGGTGGGTTATGCTGACAATAAAGAGCTCGGTGCCAAGCGAGCTGGGGACGCGCGAGCGCTTATGAGATTGTGCCCAGTCCCCGTGCCGCTCGCCGTGTCCTGGCTAACGAGGCTCACGGCTCCTCACAGCCGGAAGGGCGTTCCCCGAACCAACAAGCGCCAGCCTCCCTTTGCCGTCCCTGCATCTGACCTCCTTCATCCTCTTTTTTAACCCTCACTGAGGACATTTTCCCCATTGGTTTCTAGAGAGAGAGGAGGGGGAGAGAGAGGTGGGGGGGAGGGACATGGACGTGGGGAACCTGCAATCGATGTACGTGCCCTTGACAGGGAACCTAAGCTAAGACCCTGAGGGCCACAAGCTGACACTCTGACCACTGAGCTAACCGTCCAGGGATGAACTCATTTATTTTCACATCAACCCTGTGAGGAAGGCCGTGTCCGGGCCCAGCCCAGCCAGCAGATCCTCTCTGCAGCTGGGTGCCTTTCTAACTCATCCTTGCAATACCTCTGGGGGTGTCCCCATCCTTGTCATTTTAAAGACAAGGAAACTGCCCTGGCTGGTGTGGCTCACTGGTTGGAGCACCAACCCGGACATCATCCTGGGTGGAGGGTTTGATTCCTGGTTGGGGCCCATGCCCTGGTAGCAGATTCAATCCCCAGTTGGGGCTAATGTGAGAGGTGGCCTGATTGATGTTTCTCACACTGATGTTTCTCTCTCTCTCTCTCTCTCTCTCTCTCTCTCTCAAATCAATAAAATAAATTTAAAAAATAAATAAAGATTAAACTGAAGCTGGTGGAAATTAAGCTAGAAGGTGGCAGTGGCAAATCCAAAATGAGATCTGCAGTCTCAGAGCAAAGTTCTTGCCGCCTCATTCTTCTCCGCTTGGCACGAGGGACTGCCTTAGATGGAGGCTCAGTTTCCGCACGTGTCAGGGATTATGTGTGTGTGTCAGGGGCTGTGTGTGTGTGTCAGGGGCTGTGTGTGTGTGTCAGGGGTTATGTGTGTGTGTCAGGGTTATGTGTGTGTGACAGGGGCTGTGTGTGTGTCAGGGTTATGTATGTGTGTCAGGGGCTGGGTGTGTGTGTCAGGGATTGTGTGTGTGTGTGTGTGTCAGGGGCTGTGTTTGTGTCAGGGCCTGTGTGTGTGTGTCAGGGGCTGTGTGTGTATCAGGGGCTGTGTGTGTGTGTCAGGGGCTGTGGGTGTGTGTCGGGCTGTGTGTGTGTCAGGGACTGTGTGTGTGTGTGTCAGGGACTGTGTGTGTGTGTGTCAGGGGCTGTGTGTCAGGGGCTGTGTGTGTGTCAGGGGCTGTGTGTGTGTGTCAGGGGCTGTGTGTCAGGGGCTGTGTGTGTGTGCAGGGACTGTGTGTGTGTGTCAGGGGCTGTGTGTGTGTCAGGGGCTGTGTGTGTGTGTCAGGGGCTGTGTGTGTGTCAGGGACTGTGTGTGTGTGTCAGGGGCTGTGTGTCAGGGGCTGTGTGTGTGTCAGGGGCTGTGTGTGTGTCAGGGGCTGTGTGTGTGTGTCAGGGGCTGTGTGTGTGTCAGGGGCTGTGTGTGTGTGTCAGGGGCTATGTGTGTGTGTCAGGGCTGTGTGTGTGTGTCAGGGGTTGTGTGTGTGTCAGGGGCTGTGTGTGTGTGTGTCAGGGGCTGTGTGTGTGTCAGGGGCTGTGTGTGTGTGTGTCAGGGGCTGTGTGTGTGTCAGGGGCTGTGTGTCAGGGGCTGTGTGTGTGTGTGTGTCAGGGGCTGTGTGTGTGTCAGGGGCTGTGTGTGTGTCAGGGGCTGTGTGTGTGTGTCAGGGGCTGTGTGTGTGTCAGGGGCTGTGTGTGTATCAGGGGCTGTGTGTGTGTCAGGGGCTGTGTGTGTGTGTCAGGGGCTGTGTGTGTGTCAGGGGCTGTGTGTGTGTCAGGGGCTGTGTGTGTGTGTGTCAGGGGCTGTGTGTGTGTCAGGGGCTGTGTGTCAGGGGCTGTGTGTGTGTGTGTGTGTGTGTCAGGGGCTGTGTGTGTGTCAGGGGCTGTGTGTCAGGGGCTGTGTGTGTGTGTCAGGGGCCCCACCTTCTCCCTGCGCCCTCTGCCTGTTTCAGCAAAGGTGCAGGGGCTCAGGGACCTGCTCGTGGTCCTAACTCTTTACATCGCTGGCATTTCTCCGGAGTTCTAGGGCTGCTGGCTATGGCGGCAGCCACGCCGCAGGAATGCAGGGCAGCAATTCAGACACTAGATGGGGTGCTTCTGACCCAGTGCATCTCATCGGGGGCAATCCCCGCCCCGGGGCAGTTAGCAGTGTCTGGAGACATTAGGGTTGTCCAGATGGGGGCGGGGAGGCCTGTCCTAACCCCAGGCGAGCGGAGGGCGGGTGTCAGGACCAGGGAGCCGACGACAGACGCAGATCTTCCGGTGCCGGTCCGTCTCCCTACAAGACGTGGAGCCTGATCGGGCCCCCGCGGCCCCCTGACCTCACCATGACCTCTCCTCCGCAGAAGCTGACGGCGGTGCTTGCCCTGGCCACGCTGATCTCGGCCTTCGGGTCCTCCTTCCAGTACGGGTACAATGTGGCCGCCATCAACTCCCCTTTCCGGGTAGGTCTCTGCAGGAGCGGGCCCAGGGAGGCAGGTTGGAGCAGCCCGGGCCCTGGGGGCACCAGGGTGGGACTGCCCACACGGAGGGCACACAACGGTCCTGGAGGAAAGGGGGCTGGTGGGCACAGGATCGGGGACGAGCCAGGGCCCAGGCCCGGCTGGACCCTCGTGGGGCTGGCCTTGCCATCCACGGAGGATCCGGAGCAGCAGGGTCACCCACTGAGCTGGGGGACCGGAGACCCTCCTCTCTGGTGTTAGAAACATCCGGGCAGTTTTCCTCCAGAGGCCTCGAGCCCTCCCCAGGGGGCCTCTGCTCCTTGCCGTTAATACAGCGTCGTCCTCCCCGCTTTCCCGCGCCTACCAGTGTCCTTGTCTGTGTGCCAGGCTGTCCCCCGTGGGCCCAACAGCTTCCGTAGCTCTCTCTGCAAACCGGGCCACACCACTCGGGCCCTCTGTTTTGCTTCCCTCTGCAGCTCATGCAAGAATTTTACAATGAGACCTACTATGATCGGAACAGCGACTACCTGAGCGACTTCTCCCTGACGCTGCTGTGGTCTCTCTCTGTGTCCATGTTCCCCTTCGGAGGCCTCGTCGGGTCCCTCATGGTCGGCTTCCTGGTGAATAAGCTTGGGAGGTAAGGCGAGGTGACCTTCCAGCTCCGCAGAGCGCGTCCTCCCTGTCGGAGCCTAAGACCTAGCCTCACGCGGACCCTCACTGTACGGGTGGTGAAGCCACGGAGGTGACTTCTGGCTTCCGACGTGGTCTCCAGACCGGACATTGGCCGCATGTTGGGGCCGCAGGCCTGGTCTTGGGGCTGAGGAGGAGGGAGCAGGTCCCCGGCTCCGGGTGGACACGGAGCGAGCAGAGCACATCCGCTGTCTCTGCTCCCCAGCCTGGAAGGTTGTCGGGTTTGGTGGTTTTGTACAAAACCCAAACTGAGATCTCTCCTCCTTCTCTTCTTCTTCTTCCTCTTCTCCTTCTCCTTCCTATTTATTTATTTATTTATTTATTTATTTTGCCTTTGGAACAGTCAAAACCTCAGATGACATGGCCAAGAGGTCAGTCCCAATGTACAGCTTGGTAAGGTGACCAGATCGTCCCGCTTTTGGCGGGACAGTCCCAATTTCTAACAGTTTTTCCCGCGTCCCGCGCGGTGTTTTTAAAAAGTCCCGATTTTTGGAAAGATAAAATGGGGACTTTCTTAAAACCCTGCCGCAGGATGCAGGGAAAATGGTTAGAAATCGGGACTGTCCCGCTTGGGGTTCGTGAGCTCCGCCCCTTTGAGACCAGGGAATATGCAGAATTTAGCCCAAATTCAGTTCCTGTGAAACTCTGAAACGGCTGGGATCATCAGGCACTTCCCTGAGACGCCGTGCGGCCCCAGGCCCCTGCACTGTCAGAGCAGTGGCTGTCCACAGAGAGCCTGTATCGCTGCCCCTAATCCTGGAAGCATTGGAAATTCCGTAATTAAAACCTAAGAAAGGTCCTTAAGTCACCCCACGGCCCCGCGTCAGCCGCGTGGGCCCGAGAGCCCAGCCGTGCACTAAACAGCATCGAAGAGTCCTCCCCCCTCCCCTCTCCTCTGAGGAGCGCAGGGAGGCTGAGGCGGTCAAGTCCCCGTACTTGGCTGCAGAGCTAATAGCTCAGGAGTCGAGGCGAGGCCGGAGCCGAGACTTTGGTTCTTTCTCCAGTCTTTTGTTTTTGTTTTGTTTGTTTGTTGTTGTTGTTTTTAATATATTTTATTGATTTTGTACAGAGAGGAAGGGAGAGAGATAGAGAGTTAGAAACATCAATGAGAGAGTCATCGACCAGCTGCCTCCTGCACACCCCCTATTGGGGATGTGCCCGCAACCAAGGTACATGCCCTTGACCGGAATCGAACCCGGGACCTTTCAATCCGCAGACCGACGCTCTATCCATTGAGCCACACCGGTTTCGGCTCTTTCTCCAGGCTTTTGGAAAAGAGTCTGCGAGCACGAACTCGCGGCCGCTGCTCTGGGATCTCAGGGCCTGGGGTCTCCCTGGGAGCTTGGCATTGAGCTCACCGCGTTCCCTGGGCCCCCGGGGAACAGGGCACACGGTCAAGGCACAGTGGGACCTGCAGGGCCCTCCTCCTCCAGTGGGACTTGCGGTTCCATCCACACGGGAGCCGGCCGCGGCCGGGTCAGCTGTCTGCGTGGGAACGTGGTGTATGCTATTTAACTGCGCGTGGTTTTCTTAACGAGTCCCAGGTGTTCCTGAAGTAACAGCAGCAACTAGCATTTTAGGGTTATTAATTCCCTAATCCTTAGAAAAGCTCCGCCCCCTTTTCAAAGACGGGAAAACGAGGCAGAGATGCTGGAGCAACCCAGGAGGACACCGCTGGGGGGCAGTTTCGCGTCTCAGCCCGAGCAAGCCACCATCACACTGTCCTCTGTTAAATCAGGCAAACAGCTTCTCAGCCCATTGTTTTACTTTTTAATCATATAAATATACACACAGTAGTATATTTTTTAATATAAAAAATCTTCATTGTTCAAGTGGTCAACTTTAATTTAGTGTTTTTTTTAAATATATATTTTCATTGATTTTTTACAGAGAGGAAGGGAGAGGGATAGAGAGTTAGAAACATCAATGAGAGAGAATCATCGATCAGCTGCCTCTTGCACATCCCCTACTGGGGATGTGCCCGCAACCAAGGTACATGCCCTTGACTGGAATCCAACCTGGGATTCAGTCCGCAGGCCAATGCTCTATCCACTGAGCCAAACCGGTTTTGGTTAATTTACAGTTTTTTACTTTTGTTTTGTTTTCAAATATATTTTATTGATTTTTACAGAGAGGAAGGGAGAGGGAGAGTTAGAAACATTGATCAGCTGCCTCCTGCACACCCCCCCTCTGGGGATGTGCCCTCAACCAAGGTACATGCCCTTGACCTGATTCAAACCTTGGACCCTTCAGTCCACAGGCCAATGCCCTATCTACCAAGCCAAACCGGTTAGGGTGTCCGTGTTAATTTTTAAATCATTTTATCAAAATCTCTGAAAAAGATTTCATGTTTATCGTAGGACTTTAGAAGACTTCACCTTTATCAGCTTACAGAAGTTCTATTTATATCGATAGTTTGTTAATGCTATTTTTTTTAAAAACATATATATATATATATATAATTGATTTTTTACAGAGAGGAAGGGAGAGGGATAGAGATTTAGAAACATTGATGCGAGAGAAACATCAACAAACTGCCTCCTGCACACCTCCTACTGGGGATGTGCCCGCAACCAAGGTACATGCTCTTGACCAGAATCAAATCTGGGACCCTTGAGATGCTCTATCCACTGAGCCAAACCGGTTAGGGCTAATGCTATTTTTTTGTTTTTTTATTATAATATCAAATTTTAAGGACTTCTTTTGCAGCTTCAATTGATAATCTTATATTTTCCCCAGTTTAACCTTTTTAAAAAAATATATTTTTTTATTGATTTCAGAGAGGAAGGGAGGAGAGAAAAACTAATGATGAGAGAGAAACATTAATTGTCTGCCTCCTGTACGGGGCATTTGGGGATTGAGTCCACAACCCAGGCATATGCCCTTGACCAGAATTGAACCCGGGTCCCTTAAGTCTGCAGGCTGACACTCTACCCACTGAGCCAAACCAGCTAGGGCTCCAGGATAATCTTTAATGTGGTGTTTATATATGCCAAAGAATTCCTTCAAGGACTTTTGCATCTATGTTGACAAGTGAGGTTGGCTCATATTTTTCTTCCAATGTTCTTACCCAGTTGGGTTTTCAGATTATACCCAAATCATGTCAGTCTGTGATTGCAAAACTTTTACTGGATACTGCTGTCACCAGGCACACACTTGGTGAGCCTTAGACCAAACTGGTTTTTACTTTTGTTTTGTTTTTAATGTATTGATATTTTAGAAAGAGAGGAAGGAGGGAGGGAGGGAGGGAGGCAGAGAGAGAGAGAGAGAGAGAGAGAGAGAGAGAGGGAAACACTGATGTGTTGTTCCACTTACGGATGCATTTACCGGTTGCTTCCTGCATGTGCCATGACCGGAGTCGGGGCCGCCAGCCTTGATGTATCGGGACGATGCTCTCACCAGCTGCGCTGCCCAGCAGGGCCCGGCCTGGCTGACGCGCTGTCTCCTGCAGGAAGGGGACCTTGCTGCTGAACAACGTCTTCTCCATCGTGCCCGCCATCCTGATGGGGTCCAGCAAAGTGGCCAGCTCCTTTGAGATCATCATCGTGGCCAGGTTGCTGGTGGGCATCTGTGCGGGTAAGCGGGACCGACAGCCGTCACCAGGCGGGAGGACGCCACTCCGGGGTCTCTGAGGCCAGAAGCACGCGGTGGTCCCTCCGTGGGTGCTGTGTGAGCCAGGCTCGAACCCTCCGCCCGGCACGGTGTCCGGCTCCAGTGTGGACAGTGGGCGGGCCTCCCCTGTGATGTTTCTGCGAAGCAAGCTGGTCTTTGAAAGACTGAGGCTCCGGATCTTAGCTTCCGGAGGGTCCTTCCACCCCAGTCCTTCGTCCCGGTGTGTTCTCAGCAGCAGGTCGGGACCAGCGAGGGAGTGATGACAGCTATTGAGAGAGCCATGTTTCTGTGTGTGTGTGTGTGTGTGTGTGTGTGATTGTTAATCCTCACCCGAGGATATTTTTCCTTTGATTTTTAGAGAGAGTGGAAGGGAGGGGGAGAGATGGAGCAAAACATCAGTGTGAGAGAGACACATGGATTGGCTGCCTCCGACACGTGCCCCGCCCAGAGGGCATCCAGGTGTGTGCCCTTGACCAAAATCAAACCCGGGACCCTTCAGTCGGAGGGGCGACGCTCTATCCACTGGGCCACACTGGCTTGGGACGTGAGTGACATTTTGTTTAACTGGAGTCCACTGACTCACTCTCTTTTGAAACATTGGTCCCGGCTGTCTGTCTGCACGGGAGACCCAGGTTGCCGTGTGAAATGTATTTCTGTGGCTTTAACGAGGGTTGTGGCCTGGGGGCCTCTAACGGAAGGAGTAAACTATAGCAGCCTCTCTACTTTTATAAAGAACTGAGAGTTTGCAAAGGGCTGATCATGGCTTCTATCTCCCTCCCTCCCTCCACGCCCACCTGCTGGGCAGGGGAAGGGCCCGCCCACCGTGGGAACCTGGAGCTGCTTTGCAAACCCCCCGCAGAGCTGGGGCGCCCAGGCTGTCCTGCCGGCGGCTCTGGGGAGCTCCCTGAGGTAAGGTGACCAGGCGTCCCGCTTTTTTAAAAATCGGGACTGTCCTGCCAAAAGCAGGGCGTCTGGTCCCCTTACCCTACAGTGGCTTCCCACTGAGGAGGGGCGGGGGGAGCCGCGGGGGCCTCCCTCGAGCCCATGCCCCCGGTGGGCAGTGCAGTGAAGAGGCGCCTCCCTTATCTGCTCCCTCCGCCCTGGCACTGCCAAGTAACCGCTTCTCCTTCCAAACACGGGGCCCGGGACAGACCGTGTGGCCGGTGTCCTCGAACCCCTTTACCTGAGGTTAACGAGCAGCGGGGAGACTTGAGGCTTCTCTTCTCGGAAACCAAGCCCGTTAGCGGGAGGCCCGAAGCCAGGCCGGCTCTGCCCGCAGGTGGCACCAGGCAGGAAAGCGAGGCCCCGGCCCCCGAGCCTCCTTGGCCAGTCGGCATCCTCCCCCCTCCACGCTCAGAGGGCCAGGAATCAGAAGGGGCGTGTGCTCACCTGGGCAGGTGTCGGGAAGTTTCAGCCCAGGCTCGCGGCTGCCGAGTCAGAGCACGTGTGCTGGAGGCCGCAGCCTGGCCCCGCCACCCCGGGCCTCCCTGATCCTGTGTCCTCTCGCCCTCCTCCAGGCCTGTCTTCCAACGTGGTCCCTATGTACCTGGGGGAGCTGGCCCCCAAGAACCTGCGGGGGGCGCTGGGGGTGGTGCCCCAGCTCTTCATCACCGTGGGCATCCTCACAGCCCAGATCCTGGGCCTCCGGAACGTCCTCGCCAACGAGAAAGGTGAATGCGGCCGCCCCGGGCTCGGCGCCCCCTCCGCTCGGCGGACGGCCTTCTGCGGGCCGGGCTCTCCGCTCTGCTCGGCCGGCCGGCCCTCCGGCCGTCCCTCCGGCCCCCACGCGGCCCTGGCCCCCGAGGTGCTGGTCCAGCCCGGCTGACGTGTTCTAGTCCCTCCTGGGACCCGGTGAGGCGGCTTGCTCCCAGCCCAGTGGTGGGTCCGCGCCGGGGCCGAGACAGAGTCCGTGTTCCACTTCTGGGCTTTCTGCAGCGGGGCCCGCCCGGGAGGCCAGCGGTCGGCAAACTCATTGGTCCACAGAGCCAAATATCAACAGGACAGCGATGGACATTTCTTTGGAGAGCCACATTTTTTAAACTGAAACTTCTTCTAACGCCACTTCTTCAGTATAGACTCGCCCAGGCCGTGGTTTTTGTGGAAGAGCCACACTCCAGGGGCCAAAGAGCCGCAGGTGGCTCTCGAGCCACGGTTTGCCGACCACGGGGGTAGGCGATGGCGCCCGAGTCTGGCTTCCTTGCTGGTGTGCCCCGTGGAATCCACGCTGTGAGCTCACCACGACGTGTGCTCCGTCCCGCCACACGGCTGGCACCGCTCCCGGGTTCGATTCGGCCGCGGGCGATGCTCTGACCATTCTAGTCTGCGTGCCCGGGGGGCCCGGCCCAGCAGGACGGCAGGGTCAGAGCTGAAGGGCCCAGCACCCCAGCTCCTGCCGGCCTGACCTGCAGGGTCGCCAGTGTCACAGGGCCGTGGGGACCTGCCCGTTGCCCACATCCTCACCAGCACTTGGCGTGTCGGCTTTCCCCTTTGTCCCCCTGGCAGGTGGGCGCGGGCGGTCCTTGCCGCCCCTCTTGTCCGTGTCCGCAGGGTGTTGGTCAGTGCCCTCCTGGGTGCTGGGGGCACGGGAGAACCTGTCTGGGTGATGGGGCAGCTTGGCCCGCTGGGTGCTGGGGCTGGGTGCTGGGGGCCGGGTGCTGGGTGCTGGGGACTGGGGGGCTGGGGGCCGGGGCTGAGCGTGGCGCCCGTCCCCTGCAGGCTGGCCCATCCTCCTGGGGGTGACCGGCATCCCCGCGGCCGTGCAGCTCCTGCTGCTGCCCTTCTTCCCCGAGAGCCCGCGCTACCTGCTGGTCCAGAGGAAGGACCACGAGGCGGCCAGGAAGGGTGAGGCCCCCCGGGGGAGGCGGACGGGGTCAGGGCCGCAGTGTCCCTGCTCCGGGGAGGCTGAGGCCCCGCTCAATGCCCCGTCCCCTCCCAGCCCTGCGGTGGCTGCGTGGCTGGGACTTCGTGGAGGACGAGGTGGAGGAGATCCAGCAGGAGCACGAGGCCGAGCGGGCGGCCGGCTTCATCTCGGTGGTGAAGCTGTTCCGGATCCGCTCCCTGCGCTGGCAGCTCATCTCCATCGTCGTGCTCATGGCCGGCCAGCAGCTGTCCGGCGTGAACGCGGTACGGCGGCCGGGGTGGGGCTGTCTGGGGGGGCGGCCCGGGGTGGGGGGGCTGTCTGGGGGGGCGGCCCGGGGTGGGGGGGCTGTCTGGGGGGGCGGCCCAGGGTGGGGGCAGCCTGGGTGATGGCTGCCCGGGGGGGGGGGGGGGGTTGAGGCCCGGGGTGGGGGGGCTGTCTGGGATGGGGGCAGCCTGGGTGGTGGCTGCCCGGGGGGCGGGGGTTGAGGCCCGGGGTGGGGGGGCGGCCTGGGTGGTGGCTGCCCGGGGGGGGGGGCGGTTGAGGCCCGGAGGGGGGGGGGCGGCCTGGGTGGTGGCTGCCCGGGGGGGCAGTTGAGGCCCGGGGGGGGGGGCGGCCCGGGGGGGGGGCGGCCTGGGTGGTGGCTGCCCGGGGGGCAGGGGTTGAGGCCCGGAGGGGGGGTGCCGCCCGGGGGGGGGTGGCCTGGGTGGTGGCTGCCCGGGGGGCGGGGGTTGAGGCCCGGGGTGGGGGCGGCCTGGGTGGTGGCTGCCCGGGGGGGGGGGCAGTTGAGGCCCGGGGGGGGGGGCGGCTCGGGGGGGGGGGGGCGGCCTGGGTGGTGGCTGCCCGGGGGGCGGGGGTTGAGGCCCGGGGTGGGGGCAGCCCGGGGTGGGGGGGCTGTCTGGGGTAGGGGTGCCCGGGTGGGGGCAGCCCGGGGGTGGGGTGGGCAGGGGGAAGGGACAGGCTGGGCAGGGACTCGGGCAGGCGTGGCCTGGCCAGCCCACCAGCCTCAGCCTCCGGCTGCCTTCCAGATCTACTACTACGCAGACAAGATCTATGAGAAGGCGGGGGTGGCGGAAGACAACGTCCAGTATGTGACGGCGGGCACGGGGGCGATCAACGTGGCGATGACCATTGTGGCCGTGAGTGTCCCGGAGCGCCCTCGGCCGCCCAGGAGGGAGGGCGCCTTGAGGGGGTCCCTTCCCGTGTGGCCCTGGGCTCTGCTCAGGTGACAGCCTGTCCTTCCGGGAGGGGGCCCGGGGCTCTCAGCCCCAAAGCGCCCTGCGCCAGAGGCCCCTGCCCGCGCCCCAGCATGAAGGCGCAGAGGGGACCCGGGCTGCGCGGTGCGGGGCGCTGGCCGTCCAGGGCCACGGCCCGGGGCACAGAGGGGTGTGCGCATTGGGCGGGAGGAGCTTCCTGCACAGGCCGCTCCGGGCCAGGGTGTTGGGGGGACGGCTTGCAGCTCCTGACCCCCCCTTTCCCGGCCCGCCCCCCAGGTGTTCGTGGTGGAGCTTCTGGGGAGGAGAATCCTGCTGCTCCTGGGCTTCTCCGTCTGCTTCCTGGCCTGCTGCTTGCTCACGGTCGCCCTGGTTCTGCAGGTGAGAGGGTGCGGCTCCCTTGCCCTGCCCCCGCAGCCCACTGCCCACTTCATGCCCATTTGCCAGTGGCAAGAGGTGGCGCTTCCTGTTGAAGGAGGAGCCCGGTGCCATCCGGGAGCCGAGGTTCCCCGCGCTCCCTGTCCCCGGCCGGCCTTGCGCTGCCCGGTGTGACCCCACTCTGCTTCCCCCCCCAGGACACCGTCTCCTGGATGCCGTACCTCAGCATCACCTGTGTCTTCAGCTACGTCGTAGGACACGCCCTGGGGCCCAGTACGTACCCGGAGCCGCCCCGGCCACCCCGGGAGCTCCCGGCCTGAGCTCCCTGGAGGGGCTCTGGGTGGCCTGTCCCTGCACAGGGGGGCTGGACAGAGCCCACTGAGAGCGGAAGCAGCAAAGTGGCCATGGAGCCGGAAGCACACGGCCCCGTGGGAGTGGGGTTAGAGCCTTACGGGCGGCGGGCCCTGTAGGGGCCTCATAGGGTGTTGTGCCAAATTCTGGCTTCTGGCCTCCTCCCCCGGCTGCTGCCCCCGGGGTCCAGGAGGCTCGCCACGCCCGCCCTGCACCGCACCCCGAGGCCCCTGGCACCCAGCGGGGGCCCAGGACCCTGGCGGGCTCGCTCTGCCTCCAGCGAGCGCCGCTCTCCCTCCTGCCCTCCGCAGGCCCCATCCCCGCACTCATCATCACCGAGATCTTCATGCAGTCCTCCCGCTCCTCGGCCTTCATGGTGGGGGGCAGCGTGCACTGGATCTGCAACTTCGCCGTGGGCTTGCTCTTCCCCTTCATCCAGGTGAGTGTGGCCCCGGCCCCAGGCCCGCGGGACGGCCCCCCCCCCCCCCGCGGTGAAACGGGGGCGCCTCCCCAGGACTGAGCCCGGCCGCCCTCCCCGCAGGAGGGCCTCGGGTCCTACTGCTTCATCGTCTTCGGCGGCGTGTGCTTCCTGACCGCCATCTTCGTCTTCTTCGTGATCCCCGAGACCAAGGACAAGACGTTCATGGAGATCAACCTGGCCTTCGCCAAGATGAACCACGTGTCCGAGGTGTGCCCCGAGGCTGGCGAGGAGCTGAAGGGGATCCCCGCGGAGATGGAGCTGCCGGAGCAGACGGAGCCCCCGGGCAGGAAGGAGCTGCCGGACAAGCTCACGCTGGTGTCGGAGGAGCTGCAGACGGTGGCGGACGGCCTGAGGGAGCTGCCCCAGAAGCTCAGGCTGGTGTCGGAGGACCTGAAGGCGGTCTCCGAGTCGCTGAAGGTCATGTCGGAGGGGCTTCCCGAAGATTCCAGGCAGCTCCCGCCCTCCACGGTGCGGCTGTGACCCCCGGGAAGGAGCCTGAGGCGTGGTCCGGGGGGTGCTCCCTCCTCGGGGTGTTGTTCTGAGCCATCGTGGTCTGTAAACATCCAGAACTGGGACCGTCCGGGGTGGGTGCCCACAGGGCTGCTGTGCCGTTACTAAAGCCGGACCGACCCATCCCCAGGCTCAGGTCACAGCGGGCAGCCGTGCTCCCACCGTGGCCAGGCCAGCCACGGCGCGGCTGCCGTCACACCAGCTTTCCTGGCGGTGGGATGGGAGGAAGCAACCCTTTCTCCCATCCCAGGGGTCTTCTGGGGGCCTGTGTTCAGAGCAGAATCCGTCCCCCTGTCGCCACTCTCTCGGAAAGGGTGAGGTCACAAGTGACGAGGTCCAGGAAGTTGGAGGACAGGTCCCTGTGGAGACTTGAACCAAGTCACGGACTCTTAATCCTAAATGACATTGTGAGAGGACAATGGAATTGCCTCGGTATATTCAATAAAACAGATGTGATCATTTTTTCACCAACATGTGCTTCTTCTCTGTGAGCAGGCGGGAGGAGGCGGTATTCCCGGCTGCTTCAAGCCGTTTGACTGCCCTGGAGTGTAAGCCCCTGGAGAACACGGGTTTGTCCTGTTGTGTTTATCCCAGAATCCCCACGGCCTGGAGCAGGTGTAAAGGGGGCACTCAGGCAATGTCTTCTGAAAGGGGGGGAGCAACGAGAGAGGAGGTGGTTGCAGGTTTTTAAATTTGAGATTGGGGGATCCTCTGCATGTCTTCCGGTCCATAGGGCACACGGAGAGGTCCTAAAGGTGAGATGGGGAGGGAAAGAGGGGAGGAGGGTGGGAAGGAGGGAGGTAAGCGGGTGTGTCCCCCCACAGGTGCCACAGAGCTAGAAGCTTTGCCTAGAGACCTGTGTGTGTGAAGAGGGCACGTGCAGGCAGATGGAGAAAACGCAGAGGCCTGGGAAAGGACAGTGGAGAGAACACCCACTGAATGGAAAATCTGGTATTGGGAGAGGAGGCCCAAAGCTCAGGACCAGGTGGGACAGAAGTGGGATTGGGAACAGCTTTTTTTTATAGGGGGAGAATGATAAGTAACTTACAAGAGTGTTGCAGACACAGACAAAGTAAAAAGCAAAATGCGGGGGTTGAACCATCCTTGACCTCCTGCAGCAGGGATCTGTGGTGTGGAGGGGACCACAACGACAGCCAACGGTGGAAGCTCTTCCCTCTGAGGAGCAGGAAGGCTGGCACGAGAAAAGCCAGGGAGCTGTGGTGTTACCGATCCCGTCCAGGTCACACACAGGAAGGCCGTGGGGTCCGTGACTCTGGAGGGCTACTCCCGCAGGCCGGCCTTGGTTCTGCCCCTCAGTAATCGCATATCTTGGCTTGAACATTTCTGTACCTCTGGCTTTTCTGTACCCGTGTCCTCTTCTGTTAAATGGGGGTGATGACAAGTGTCTCACGTGGTTGGTTATGAGAATTCAATGATGTGTTTGAGTGTTTAGATCAGTGCCTGGGGTATATTAAACACTTATTTTTTAGTCAATTAATTTATTTTTTAATTAAATCATTGTTGTTGAAAGTATTACATATGCCCTCCTTTTTCCTCCATTGACTCCTTTTAGCCCATTCCCACTGCCCTCCCCAGGCCTTCACCACCCTATCATCCATGGCCATGGGTTATGCATATACGCATTTAAGTTCTTTGATCTCTTTCCACCCACCCACCCTCCCCCGCCTACCCTCCGAGGTGCCACAGTCTGTTCCATGCTTCCATGCCTCTGGATCTGTTTTTGTTCATCAGTTTATCTTGTTTATTAGATTCCACATATGAGTGAGATCATGAATCACTTAGTTATTTTTACGTGCTTGGGAGTGAGCTTGGATCTTGAGGGCAAATAAATTTGTAGGTAAAATAAAGTGAGAAACCTGTACTATCCATGGATGCTGACATCTAACAGTGGATCGTTGCAGTGGTAAGTTACAGATAAACCACGAGAGGGAGTCTAGGATGATCCACGTAGTATTGAGGAGAGCCGGAGATAGTGGTACGAGCTCCTGTTCAGCTTCCTATAGACTCAGGGGCTACATACGGGAGCATTTAGAGACGGGTGCGTATATCCGGGCCAGTAAAATCCAGCCGGAAGAGAAAGAGATGGGCCTGGTGCTGTGGTGGCACTGGAGGAAGATGTGGAATTAGGAAAGGGTCTCTCCAGCTGGAGAAGAGGCAGCTGGGAAGTGCAGGGTGGCTATTCCAGGTGAGATGTGGTGGTGTTTAGGGGAACTCTGGGTTGGTCTGAAAGTAAAGCCAGAAATATGTGGGAAGCTGACCTAGAGTCTGTGGGTCCTTGGGAGCCAAACTGAATCTGAACTTTGACCTCTAGATAATGCTGGTGTTTTCGTGATCTCTGAGTTGCAGAGCGTGGTGTGGCAGTAATGAGGACGGGGTGGAACTTGGGTAGGGCGACCGGTTGATAAGAAATAATGCCGGCCCTGAGAAGCCAGCAGGGGTCAGGCCCAGCAGGGAGGGGGGTCCAGAGAGAGACTCGGTAGGATGCAGTGACCACTAGGCCAGCACAGGTGAGATCTCATTCGTTCAACCAATGGTTTTGAGCACCTGCTATGTGCCCGGCAGTGGATATGATGGATCTGACAGTCAAAAACACACAAGTACAGAAATACTGAAGGTCCTTTCAGACAGTACTCGGGGTAAAGTGTTAGAGAATGTCAGGCGAGAGCGGGTTTACTTTAAAAAGGGTGGTTGCAGGGAGGATGTTTGTACCACGATGGTAAGGCCCGGAGACTGAAAAGCCACCCCCATAAGCGGAGGACGGAGGCCGGCCACTCCAGTCTGGCCATTAATAGGGTCTAGTGAGGGGAACTCACATCCGAGGCGTGTCCTGGCTGGCTGCAACGTGAAATGACTTCCCGTGCTGCTTGGCAAGTGCCGACAAATTCCGTAGTCACTAGTAGCCCTGCGCACAAACCCGAGCACCAGCAGCTCTCTGCGGGGCCTGGCTGCTCCATACCCACAGCCCAGAGGCTCTCCGTGGCCCAGAGGTCCATCCGGGCCAGGGGTGGAACACCGTCACCGTGGTGACGAAGCAAGCATTTCACCAGGCCGCTTAAGTTGCCTGCTCTCAGTGGCCACCCCCCTGGGACTGGGGGACTCTGGTGGGGCTGAGAGGACTGGAGGCCACCATCATGTGGCTATGGGCACCGCCATATTTGTGACAGAGTGATGGTTAATTTGCATATTGCCCTTTTATTAGATAGGATGGAGGTGGGTTGAGTAGTCATGCCCGCTAGTCCATGAATGCCACCAGGTCCAGGAAGTGACGGGCTGGACCAGGTGAGGGCAGCGGTCCGTGCAGGGACCAGCACAGAGCAGGAGGCAAAGGAAAGGGGCTGTGTATGCCCAAATGAGCACCAGTTATGATCACACAGCCTCAGGGTGGGGCTGGTGGTGCAGTAAGCTGCTCCCCCTCCCCCGGCCCAGGTCCACTCGCGGGTCGGGCAGCGGTCACCACCTGGAGCAGCCTCTCCTCCACAGAGGCCCGCCCCTCGGAGGTGGCGTGGCAGCTGAGACCTGGGGGAGGAGGTTCAGGCAGAAGGAACAGCAGGTAGGAAGGAGCTCGGTTTTGCCATCAGCTTGACTTTGTTGCTGTGGTGGACTCAGAGGAAGGCAGGAGAGACGCCCAGCGTGGATCAGTGCTATCCAACTCCGACCTCGTGGCCGGCCAGCCGGGGGCGTGCCAGCGGGACGCAGAGCCCACTGGACCAGCTCTCCAGGGTCTGTAGGAGCAAGCAGAGAGCGAGCTATGGTCGCAGAATAATGTGCCCCCCCCCTCCCCAAACCTGTCCACGTCCTAACCCCAGAACCTCCAACCGTGTTATGTCACAGGGCAAAGGGGGGTGGACATTGCAGATGGTGTTCAGGTCGCTCATCATGTGACTCTGAGATGGGGGATTCCACGGGATTACTGGAGCAACCACGCTGACCAGGGAGGAGCAGGAAGACAGCAGCACAAGAGAGACTCAGTGTCAGGTGCCGGCGTTGAAGACGGGGAAGGGGCCTCGAGCAAGGAAGGCGGGCAGCCTCCCGGAGCTGGAGAGGCGAGCGAACGGGCTGTCCCTGCGGCCTCCAGGAGGGACCGCGACGCTGCTGACCCCCGATCGCAGCCCCGTGAGACTGGGTCACAGTCACGGCCTCCAGAATGACAAGGAAATAAACGTGTGGCAGAGCTTGTTACAGCAGCCACAGGAAACTCATCCAGACCTTGGTCCTGGGCAGCGGGGAAGCGTGAACAAATACCTACATATATGGAGTGGCCATGGCATTGGGCGCCGGGGAAGAGGCTGGGAGAATGTGGAGAATTTAATAGAAAATGCCGAGATCGCCTTGGACAGACTGCTCATAGAGATACGATAGTGCACTGTCCACTGGGTGGCCAGGCTGGGCAGCCAGGTTAAAGGGCAGCCGAATGCCATCTCGGGAGAGACCAGTCTGAGTCAAGGTCACTGAGAACAGACAGTCCACACACCTGGCTCTAGTGCAGCATGGACTCCCAGCAGAAGAGAGCAGGGCCCTGGCCTGTGGCTCAGCTGGTGGGAGCCGTGTCCTGCGCACTGAAAGGCTGCCGGTTCGATCCCCGGTCAGGGCACGTGCAGTAGAAGACGTAGAGGAAGCAGCCAATCAGTGATTCTCTCTCATCATTGGTGTTTCTCTCTCTCCCTCTCCCTTCCTCTCTCTGAAACCAATAAGAACATTTTTTTTTTTTTTTTTTTTAAAGCAGAGAGGGGCTGCACAGATCCAGTCCCTTGCAGGGTGTGGGTCCCCCGGGTGGCTGTGGTGGGTGATATGGCTGCACGCGCTGTGAAAGGACCCTGCCCCTCCCCAGGGGGTCTGACACGCAGAAGGCTGGGTGTGCCAGAGGCCCTTGCCTCACTTGCTGTAAGCAGAGCCCAGGAGCACACACTGTCCCCGCCCGGGGCCCATGCTTACGTGGCAGAGCCGGCAGGGCGAGGGACACATGCCTTTCTCTCCCAACAGCTGACCGCTCGGCTGGCCAGGCCCCAGAAGCCACGAGGGGCACCGCAGTCACAGCTCTTTACAGCACCGATGTTCACCCGTGCACCCCGAGAATTCTTCAGACGTGCGATCGCCGACCATGTAGTCAGGGGCGAGGCCTCTTCTTCCTTAAATGTCAAATAGCAAGATGCCAGCAGCCGGCACAAGAGCCATCCAGTGGGAACGAGTCAAGGTTATGCCCAAAAGACGGAGAACGGCAGAACAAGGGTACGGTGTGCTGCCGAATGTCAGTGATCGGTTTCTGGGTGCCCTGAGATATAGAGTGGAAGCCCCTGCTTTAGAGAATGCGGGGGGGGGGGGGGGGGGGGGAGGCTGTTTCTCTGTTTTCCATGTCCATCTCCATTATGGAAAAGGAAACGGGTTCCTGAGTGGAGGAGCTGGGGATTAAGAAATTAAAGAAAGAGACCAAGAGGCAGAAATAGATTCATGAAGCTGGGAGCCAGGTGGGCGCCATCCTCTCTGATGGAGAGGCAGCAAGCAGCCGGGCCACGCAGCAGGTCAAAGGAGCTTATTTGCGTTCTTTTTTTAAAAAAATATATTTTATTGATTTTATACAGAGAGGAAGGGAGAGAGATAGAGAGTTAGAAACATCGATGAGAGAGAGAGTCATCGATCAGCTGCCTCTTGCACACCCCCTACTGGGGATATGCCCGCAACCAAGGTACATGCCCTTGACCAGAATCGAACCCGGGACCCTTCAGTCCCCAAGCCAACGCTCTATCCACTGAGCCAAACCGGTCCTGTAAGCCATTCTTAACTAGGCCCTAGCATCACTGAATTTACATATCTAAACCCGCCCCTGCTGACACGCGGACAAAGGGAAGTCAGAAACTGAAGAACACCCCCCAGCCCTCGGGCTCAGCTGACAATTTAAAGGGCGTCCCTGTGCCTTCTCAGGGAGCCCTCTGCAAGAGGACCCTGCCTGTGGGGCAGGTGGGCGGGAGCAATGAGGACCTCACGTTCTTGGTGTGGGCCCCGCCCTCGGATGGCACCCACATGCCCACACTGGCCCGGGGCCCCAGTACGTCCCGCGTTGGTGACCACATGCTTACGTGATTCTCAGGATGGTCCTCTGACCACTATTCCTGTCCTTTGATCGTGATTTCCCGATCAGCCTTCATCGTTGCTCCGTCGTTCCCCGCTCCGTGTTTTCTCGGGAGAGGCCGTTCTGGAATGAACACCTTTGCTGAATGTGTCACTGACTCGCTGCGAGCCTGTGGGCATCCTTAGGAGGAATCACGTCGCCTGCCTGTGAGAGTGTTTTGTTTGCTCTTTCCTGCAAACGGACAACCAGTCCACATCGCTGAGGGGAAGCTCGGAGAACTAACGGGGAGAAGCGGCCGAGACCCAGGCGAATCCCCAGTCCTGCTCCCAGCCACGGGCCCGTGGTGGGCACTGGGCACTCCGTGGTGCACCTGGAGCATCGGGCCTGGGGCTTGGCGGAGACAAAGACAAAATCCCTGCTGGGTGAACCTTATCTTATCAGACTTCCCAGGAGAGTGGCTCTGGGAAGGGGGCAGGGTCCAGAGGCCAAAGGCAATCAGGGCACCCAGGCCCCCAGGCGAAGCCGCGGGTGCAGGACAGACCGGTGTCGCTCGGAGACAGAGCGCACTGCTTCTCCCCTGAGCGGCATGGAGGTGCCCAGCCCTCCCCGGAAGGGGGTAAGTGCCAGGCTAGGGAAGGCCCTGTCACTGGCCCTTTCCCACCAGAAGAGGGGACCGAGGAGGGAGGAGGCGGCTACTGAACCGCCTACAGGGACAGGACAGCACCGCCTACAGGGGTCAGCCAGTGTGGGGACAGCGGCTTCCTCAGACAGGAAGCAGCTACCCCAGCTCAGACGCAGGCGGGCAGGCTGAGCCCCGCTCTCAGGAGGAGATGGAGGCTGAACTTTCCTCTGAGGAGGTGATGGAGGCTGGAGGAGGCTGGCAATGCCACGCTTCTCGCAGCCCCCGCCCCGGCCCGGCCCCATTGCCCAGCCTCTGAAGGTGCCAGAACCCTGTGCCCGCCCTTCTCTGCAGGCTGGATCCGGCCAGCAGGGTGAGGTCTGCGGGTGTCACACAGCTGGGGGTGGGTGGAGTTAGCAGGCAAACAGAGGGCGGAGCGTGGCTCAGGGCGGTGGCTCTGGACCCGCTGGTTTGCTGGAGTCCTGGGAGGCAGTGCCTCAGGCAGCCGCAGATCTGCCCTGAGTCTGCCGCCCCCTGGGCTCTGAGACAGTCTCCCATCTCCCCGCTTCCCGCACCCCCAACCCCCGGAGCTGCCCTGAGGCAGTCTCCCCTCTCCCTTTACCCCCCTCACAGCTGCCTTGGGCTCTGAGGCAGTCTCCTCGCTCCCTCTCCCCCCGCCCCTCCAGCTGCCCTGGGCTCTGAGGTGGCCAGGGAAGCGGGATGTGGTGGGATGTGGAGTGAAGGACAAGCCTCAGAGCTCTCCAGCCCTCTGTCCCTGACTCCCTCCACCTGGACACTCCTCCCCCCGCCCAGGGCTCAGCCGCTCCTGCTCAGCTCCGAGACCCCCTCAGAGGCCTGCCCTGCACCCTGCGGAACACCCCCCTGCCCCCCATGTCTCCCCTGCTCCCCTGCTGGCCCTCAGAGCATCACTGGGATGTGGTGTCTGTGCGTCCTTTTCCTATCTGCCTCCGCCCCAGAATGTAAACCCCGGGAGGCCATCGGGCGCTGCCCCGTTTCCCCAGCCTCCCCCGCCCATCCTGCGCCGGCACGTGGCGGGGGCTCAGCTTTATCTTTAAGGAGAAATGACTGCGTGCCAGGAGCAGGAGACCATGCCCTCCATGGTGCCCCCACGGTGCCCCCACATCTCAGTGCCCTGAGAACCCCACCCCCAGCCAGCCACCCCACCACCTTCCCTGGGCGGGTCCTGGGGTGGGAGCCCACTTCTCGAGGTCCCAGGACCCACCCCGAGCCTCTGAGCACGGCCCTCCCTCACGGCCGCCTCCCGTCCGTCCGCAGCGGCTGTCGCCCACGCTGGCGCTGGCCACCCTGAGCGCGGCCTTCGGCTCGGCCTTCCAGTACGGCTACAACATCGCCGTGGTCAACACGCCGCACAAGGTGGGCGCGGGGCCGGGGCCGCCCGCCGGGGCTCTGAGCCGCCCAGCCTCCCGGCAACGAGGGCCGTGTCTTCCAGGTGCTGAAGGCCTTTTACAACGACACGTACTTCGCGCGACACGGGACGCCCCTGGGCGAGACGCACATGCTGCTGCTGTGGTCCTGCACCGTGGCCATGTTCCCGCTGGGCGGCCTGCTGGGCTCGCTGCTGGTCGGCCGGCTGGTGGACACGTGCGGCAGGTGCGGGGGGCTCGGCCCCACTCCAGGTCACGGGGGTCACGGGGAACCGCGCCGTCTCCGGGGGGGCTGCACCAGGCGGGGGCTCGATGTGGCCTTGGAGAGCCTGGTCCCCACGGTGCCACAGGCACGATGCCCCGAAGCCGGTCCCTGAGGTGCCGGGACCCTTCCCTTGTCCTGGCCCGGGACCTGCAGGCCCTCTGTCCCCAGCCCCGCGGACGAGGCACAGCCCTGAGAGCAAAGTCCCGGCCACTGCTCCCCTCGGTGCCGTGTCAGCACCGCAGCAGGCGCCCCGCGGGTGCGTGCCCATGGGCCTGCCTCGTGGCCAGTGACCCGGGGCTCCTGGGGAGACCGGGCAGCCTCGCCCCACGCGGCCTCACCAGGGCTGCTGGTCTGAGGCCGGGGCTCCGGCTGAGTCACTCCCCGTGTCCCTGTCCCGTGTCCTCCTTGAGATGCCCAGTGGCTCTGTGTCCTTTGCTGGGCTTGCCCGGGCTCCCTAATCTGGGGCCCACGCCCAGGAGCTGCCAAGAGGTGACTCCGCAGATAAGGCGGGGTGCCCGGGCCAAGGTCCCCAGGAAGGGAGGGTGAGCCACGGCCTCAGGGTGAGGCGGCGGGTGCCATCTGGCCACATGCCATGAGGAGACATTCTCAGTGGCACGTGGGCTCGATACGCTGGGACGGCAGTTCTGGGGTGTGAGTGGAGGACCCTCTAACAGAGGGAACGTGTAAAGCCCCGCAGCCCTCAGGGCCCACGCCTGGACACACTCTCGGCGGCTGGACCCCGGTTACGGGGACAGCGGGCCCACAAGCCTCTTCTTCCAGGCCAGGGGTCGGCAAACTCATTAGTCAACAGAGCGGCAAACCTCGGCTCGTGAGCCGCATGTGACTCGTAAGCCACAGTTTGCCGACCACTGTTCTAGGTGCATTTGCCATCCGCCGCCCGCGCGAATGAGGAAACACTCAGATGTGGTCATTAGGCCCTAACCAGGCTCTTGTGTCATCCAGACTGCTGTTCTCAGCTACACCGGGAGCGGCCGGGCTGTTCTAGAAGCCCAGCCTTGGCTCCTCACCTGGACCCCGTCACATACTTGGGAGCTCAGGGATGGTCTCTTGCCGCCCTCACCTGGCAGACGAGGACACTGAGGCCGCTCCGGGGGAGCCGGCCTTGACCTAGTGGGTTCCCGACCGCCCTGAGCAGGAAGGGCTGGGGAAGCCAGGCCGAGAGGGGTGGTGAGGGATGGGGTGCTGTCCTCTCCAGGCCTCGGGGCGGCTGGTCCTCAGCTCTCAGTCCTGCCCTGATGGCAGCTCTCTCAGAGGATCAGCCGGCCCAAGAGGAAAGAGGCCTGAGAAAAGCAGCCCCCACCTGGGTGGCCAGCGCTGCCTCGTCGGAGATTCCAGGGGGCTCTGTGGCCACCCCTCCAGAGGGCCCTGTGTTTCTGCTTAAAGACATCCCCTTCCCCTCTCCTCCAACCCTTCTCTCCCCCCACTCCCCACGCTCCTGGCATAGCCCTCAAAGGCCCAGTGGTCCTCGGAGGCGGGCAGAGTGTGGGCAGATCTGAAAGGCCGGTGCGGCCAGCAGCCACCCCACAGCTGGGACCTCCCTTCCTTCCTCACCCTCCTCTGGTTTCTCCTTCGGCAAAGCCCAATCCAAGTTGGGGTGCGGGGTGCCCAGGGCCATTGCTGGAAGCCCTCAAAGGGCCCAGAGCACAATCTGGAGGGGAGGGCTGGTCCTGGGGGCAGGGCAGCCTGGTCCCTTTTTCTAGGCACCCCTCCCTCTCCTCATAGACTCCGGGCTGGCAGCCTTGTCAGGGATCCGAGCAACGCTCTAGTCCCGTGGTCGGCAAACTGTGGCTCTCAAACCATATGCGGCTCTTTGGCCCCTAGTGTGTGGCTCTTCCACAAAATACCACGCACAGGGGTGCATGCACAGTGCGATTGAAACTTCGTGGCCCATGCGCAGAAGTCAGTTCTCAGCTCTCAAAAGAAATTTCAATTGTTGTACAGTTGATATTTGGCTCTGCTGACTAATGAGTTTGCCCACCACTGGGCTAGTCTCACCCTGTGTCCGCCTGTTGTGGGAACCCGCTGTTCAGCACTCCTAACGAGTTTCACTAGTCCAGCCTCTGCTTGAATACCACCAGGGATGGGAAGCCCCCTCCCGGGGTCTGCAGCCACTCCTGTCCCTTCCCTGCTGCCCTCGGTCAGCACCCCACCCTCCGCCCCTGCCCGCCCCTGCCGGCTCCGACCTTCCTTCCTGGGTCTCCCAGGCCTTGGTCCCAGCTCCCCGTCCTTCCAGCCAGCGGTCCTCTCAGCACATTCCCGCATGGCGGTGCCAGCTGCCTGCTGAGCAGGAGCCGGGTCAGGGCAGCCGCCGCCTCAGCACCCCCTCCGGGCCCGCTGTCCTTGCAGGAAGGGAACGCTGCTGATCAATAACATCTTCGCCATCGTCCCCGCCATCCTGATGGGAGTCAGCAAGGTGGCCAAGGCCTTCGAGCTCATCATCCTGGCCCGGGTGCTGCTGGGAGTCTGCGCAGGTACCCGGGGCGACAGCGGGGGAGGGTCTGAGGCCGACACGCCCGGCTCAGGGGCCGGAGCTGGACGCCGGGAGAGGAGGGTCCCGCGGCCCTGCCCGGCCCTGACCCTCTGGGGCTCCCTCCTGTCTCCTTTCCCAGCCCCTGCAAAGCTCCTGCTCTCCCCGCCCCTGCACTAGCAAAAGCTCTCTTTAAAAACGCGCCTTTGGGTGGTGATCCCACAACAGAGCACACAGATGTCGCATCCTAACTGTATAAGATGTTATGAACCAAGTTACCCCAATAAGCTTAATGGTAAAGCTTTTCTTAAAACCCCATCCCCTTTGCTGGAAGGACGGCTCACTGAGAGGCTTTACGGGTGTGTTCTGGGGGGATGTCCAGGGTGCACGGAGCGGGAGGGGCTGCGCTCAGAACGTGGGGCCTCGCTCAGCGGGGGAGCCAGGCTCCTTAGCCACAGCGGTTTCTTCTGTTTTTTTATTTTTCTTAAAAAGGGACATAAGTTATCTGTGCTTTAGAAAAGTCAGAAAATAGGTCAAAGCAAGAGAATCGTCCCAAAGTCCCACTATCCAGGCCCGCCCCCTCTGCAACCAGGATGGAGAGGACATTGGCCTCATGAGGCGGCCCCCGGGGCCTGCGGATTCTGGAAGGGTCCTCTCAGCCGTGCAAACCAAGCAGCCCACAGGGCCTGTCCATCTCCAGGCAGGGAGGCGGGGCTTGCAGGGGCGGGGCTTGTGCTGGGAGGCGGGGCTTGTGCCAGGAGGCGGGGCTGTGTGGGGAGGCGGGGCTGTGTGGGAGGCAGGGTCTTGTGGGGCGTGACTGTTGGCACGTGGTTGTGTGGGGAGGCAGGGCTGTGCGAGCTACCTGTCAGTGGCCTGGACCCCCCAGAGAAGCTGGGGATTATGGGAAGGAGCTGACTGACATCCCGGGTCCAGGTCCAGGAGGCTGGAGCTGCTCTTCTCCCTGATCTTTGTTTTGCTGGAACCAGGCATCTCCTACAGTGCCCTGCCCATGTACCTGGGGGAGCTGGCCCCCAAGAACCTCAGGGGCACGCTGGGCACAATGACCGAGGTTTTCGTCATCGTGGGCGTTTTCCTGGCGCAGATTTTCAGCCTGCAGGCCATCCTGGGCAATCCCACAGGTACCCACGCCGTGCCCGCCAAGGTCAGAGGGGAGGAGGGGCCTGGGGGCCGTGTGGGGCCGTGGGCGCTGAGTCCGGTCGTTCGCTCAGCTGTGCCCACGTTATGGGTGGGTTAAGCCCGTGGAGGCCGAGAGGTGACCTTTGGGCTGTGCAGGTGACCTTGATGAGGACAGCGTGGTGAGCGATGGGGCAGATTGTGCTGGGGCAGGGGAGGAGAGGACTGGGGATAGAGGCACACGCACGCTTGGGGAGGGAAGGAGAGCGCTGGGGGTCGCTGGATGGGGAGGGAGCTGCAGGGGAGGCTGTCCCTGGGAAGAAGAGCCACACACAGGGCTGCTCGCCGGCCCTGGAGCGGGAAGGCGGGGGGACCAGCATGCACCGGGCCGGCCATGGTCACTGTTTGTGGGCGGGTATGGCCCTGGGAGACGTTTTCTTCCAGCTCCTTCCATCTCCTCAGTGGAAGAGGAGGCAAGGCCATTGCCTGGGGGATGGGAAGGAGTGGGAGGGGGTGGGGATGGCGGGAGGTTAGGAGAGGGCGAGGGTGGGACTGCGTCCAGGCCGCAGGTGCAGCGGGGTTGTTTTGGGGTTTTCATTTTACACATTTCCCAGTCAGGCATTCCTTAGTGGGTGGGCTTAGTCTTTGTATCCCCATGGGGCCTTAAAGGGACTCGGAACCCAGCAGGTGCTCCGTGAAAGGTCTTTAGTATCAGCGATTCCCAGGCTGCCCCGGGCAGCTGAACGGTAAACACTCATCACAGGAAGGGCCCTGAGTGGAGGCCATGCTGGCCAGCAGCTGCCCAGAGCCACCTGGAATGCCTGGCTCGTGCAGTCTCTTACACCCCCCCCCCCTTTGTGTGGAGCTTTATCATCATCATCATCCTCACCTATATATATAAAAGGCTAATATGCAAAGTGTTCCCTCAGCAGTTTGAACTCAGGGAGACCGGGAGTTCAATCACTTGCTATGACATGTGCTGACCACCAGGGGGTGGCGCAAACATGAAGGAAGGCCCCGGCCAGCGGCCAGAAGGCCCGGAACTGCTCTGATCACCAGCCAGGCCTAAGGACCTTACCTGTGCAGGCATTTCATGCACTGGGCCTCTAGCTGTATCATCATCTTTACTGATGAGAACCCCGAGGCTTGGCGAGGTTAAGTCACGTCCAGTTCCCACCATCGCTGGCAGGGTCACTTGAGTCTCGGCACCGCCCGCCTCACACAAACCTTCAGAAGGAGCTCAGTGCTGCAGGGGGGTAGACGGGGGTCATTTCCAGACATAACATTAGGAACGAGGCCCGGCTGTGTTTTCTCTGGCCTCACACTTTTAGTAAGTCCAGCACGGTTCCTAAGAAACACAATGCTCTTCCTGCAATTAAAATTGTAATTATTTCCTCCGTTCGTAAATGTGGAGGCCCCCGTGTGGGCGGGGCGTGGGCAGCCACATGGTGGCGGGAAGCAGGTCCCTGCTGGCCGTGGCTCTCGCCGAGGGCTGGAAGGTCGTGGGCGAGTGACCCTGTAGCAGGAGAGAGCCAGGCCCGGGGGAGGTCGGCCGGAGGGACCCTGCGGTCAGTGTCAGTTCTCGGTGCTGGTCCCGCGCAGGCTGGCCCGTGCTCCTGGCCCTCACAGGAGTCCCCGCGCTGCTGCAGCTGCTGTCGCTGCCCTTCTTCCCCGAGAGCCCGCGCTACACCCTCATCCAGAGAGGAGACGAGGACGCTGCCCGACGAGGTACCGGACGCAGGTTCCCGCCGCCTCCCACGCCCCGGATCGCCCCTCCCTGGCGCCCAGCGCACAGGACAGGCGGTGGCCGGAGGGAGAGGGCTCCCAGGGGCAGGCGGGTGGGCTAGGAGGAGTCCGGGCAGCTCCAGGGTGAGCCCAAGGGGGGGCGGGGGCACAGACAAGGTCACAGCCACGCTGACCCATGCGGACTTGAGAGCCTGACCAGCATGGGATGCGGTTGGGGACCCCATCACCTGGTTGGGGTCCTGGTTGGGGTCCTGGGAAAACGGGGAGCCGGTGCCAGAGCTGGGCCGAGCAGGTGGGCCGCTGCCCTCGTCCCTGAGCCCGGGGTAAGGGCGGTCAGCCACGGGGCTGCTCTGCCCCCCGCAGCCCTGCGGAGACTGAGGGGCTGGGCCGACGTGGAGGACGAGATTGAGGAGATGCGTGTGGAGGGCCAGGCCGAGCGGGCCGAGGGCCGCCTGTCCGTGCTCAACCTGTTCACCTTCCGGCCGCTGCGCTGGCAGCTCATCTCCATCATCGTGCTCATGGCCGGCCAGCAGCTGTCCGGGGTCAACGCGGTACGTGGGGCCCCGCGGGCGCCTGTGTGCCTGGCATCCGCGGGGGCAGGCGGGGGCGGGGGACGGAGGGGGGCTATGATGGGTGATCGGCCTCAGGCTGACGCAGAGGCCAGGGTCTCCCTCAGAACTTCTGGTCCATTCGGAAGCCGCTGGACTCAGTCAGATGGGCAATCCTTCACCGGGGCTCCGGCAGAGCGAGCTGCAGCCCGGCCGCCTGGCGCCACGTCCCAGCTCTTCCCACCCCCTGTGCCTCCTCCTGTCCCAGGGCCCTGGGCTGCAGGGCCAGGACAGGGAGGCCGGTGGCTGTGGCCGTGGCCGTGGCCGTGGCTGGTCCTCGAAGCCCTGGGCTTCTGTTCCAGATCAACTACTACGCGGACACCATCTACGCGGCGGCCGGCGTGGCGGCCGATCAGTCCCAGTACGTGACCGTGGGCGCTGGCGTGGTCAACATCGTCATGACCGGCGTCTCGGTGAGCGCCCGGGAATACCCTTTCCACGGGGGCCCCTCAGGTCCACTGAGGGGCTGGTGACCCGGTCCTAGGTCACTGAGGGCCACGGACTTTGGGATATGCACGCACACACGTGTCTTCCTGTGTAAGATGGTCACCGTGGCCGCAGTGCCCAGGAGGCTGAGGTGGGTCAGGCCCAGAGGGAAGGTGGCTTCTCTCTCTCACCTGCGCGGCGCCAGGCTCTCCCGTGGGCCTGGCCGGGCGGCAGGGGCAGTCCCGCCTGCAGGGCTGGAAGGTGGGGCACGCAGTGGCTGGGTTGGGCCTGCCACCCCGTTGGCCTCGGTGTGGCCCGGGTGCTGGTGCTGGTGCCTGTGCTGGTGCTTGTGGCAGGGATGCAGCAGAACTGGAAATGCCGTAGAACTAGGAGAGAGGAAGGAAGGCCAGCCGGGCAGCGTGGCCACGTTGGGAACATCCGAGAGGGTTCGGGCTGAGAGAGGGTGTGGGCCCCGGGAAGTGGGGGAGGAAGGGCCGAGACGGGAGGTCAGATCCTGGGTGCTCACTGCCTGGCGTGGAGCAGCCGGTGCCAGGGGGGCGCTCTAACACGTAGGTTATTATTGGTCCGGGACGGGAGGCCAGCACAGCATAGGGGACTGCCGTGGGAAAGACCGTCTGTCACTCACAGTTCCAGGCTGGGGGGGGTGGCTGGCCAGGCCCCGCAGGGCCCCGCGGGGAGGCCCAGGGTCAGCCCGGAGGCAGAGGGAGAGGGAGACATGGTCAAGAGCCTGCATTGTGGTTTCTGTGGAAAGATGGTTGTGAGCAGGCTCAGGCCCGGCCTGTGTGAACAGTGTCAATAGTTTTGGGGGGCAGAGGCTGCCCCCCTTGGTGTCTAGGACCTGCCCTGGGTAGATTAGGGCAGGGGACAGCAGCCCTGGGTGTGAGCACCCCCTGGAGGAGGAGGTCGGAGGTGCAGGCTGTGGATGGGTTAGTTTCACAGGAAAAGCATATTCAAGAAATTGGCCAACCAACGTAGGGCCCCAAGATGCCACAGCATCCACTGCAGAAACTAGAAACGTAGAAGGGGTGGTGGCCGAGCGTTCTGGGCGCCCTGGGCCCTGCAGGCCCCTCACGTCCTCCCTCCCCCAGGCGGGCACCGTGGAGTGGCTGGGCAGACGGCTCCTCCTGCTGGTCGGCTATGCCATCTGCGGCTCGGCCTGCCTCGTGCTCACGCTGGCGCTCCTCTTCCAGGTCTGGATCCTCTCCCGCACCCAGCACCCGGCACCCCTCCCCACCCGGCAGGGACCCAGGGCTGCAGGCGGGAGGGGAGTCGGGGTAACAGACCAGCTCCAAGAGGCCAGGGTCTCAGCCGGTCCCGCTCACACCCCTTCAATGCTCATATTTTGTGTTGTTGGTTTTGTTTGTTTGTTTAATCCTCGTCCCAGGAGACTTACCCCTTGGTTTTCTAGAGAGAGTGGTGACAGTGGCCTGTGTAGCTGGGTGGGTTGAGGTCCGTCCCCCTGGCTTTGTGCCGGCCGTTGTCCTGTCGGTGGGGAGATGGCCCATCGGCTCTCCTGGTCCCCGGGCTTCTAGAAGGATCCTCTCAGCTATCGTGGAGTCCTGGTCCCGGCGCCATGCTGCTGATGGTCTGACCTGGGTGCTGCTTGGCCCTCAAGGGCCCCCTGCCCTCCTGGCCCGAGTCCGGGCTCTCCGTGCAGAGCCCACGTCTCAGGATCAACACAATAATGCCACGCTCCCAGGGGTGTCATGGGGGTTAGTGGGTAACGTGGTGACGGGCAGAGGGAGGGACCTCATGGCAGCCGGGAGGGCGGGAGGCGGCCTCTGTGAGCTGGCACGCTGGCCGCCCCGGTTTCCTCTCCCTCCGCCCACCCTCGCTCTTGCCCAGCGCCCTCGGCCCACCCGTGGGTGACCAGAACCAGGCCCCTCCGTGTGGGGGAGGGCTGGTGTGGGACTCAGCTGCCCGTGCTCCTGGCCCCGAGCTCTCCGGGCCCGGCCGGCCTGTCCGGCCCCCACAGCCCTGCTCTCCCCTCAGAGCGCGGCCCCCGGGCTGTCCTACCTCAGCGTCGTCTGCGTCTTCTCCTACATCGCGGGGCACTCCATCGGGCCCAGTGAGTACCGCCCCCGGCCCCCGGCCCGGCGCTGGCCAATGATCTCTCTCATCATTGCTGTTTCTGTCTCTCCCTCTCCCTTCCTCTTTGAAATTAATAAAAACATTTTTTTTAAAACCACAGATAGGTACACAGTAAATAAGCAGATATACAGTGTGTCTGTGGCAGTGAGATGTTATAAGGGATGTGATTAGGAAAAAATGAGTGTATAGATTTTAGACAAGTCTCCTTAAGGGCAAAAGTGGAGAGACAGACCCAAGGCCAGGTGCCTGCCATTCCCCAGACCTACCACAGGCGGCAGCACTTCCCAGGAACAAGCTCCGCCCCTCTTCATTGAGAATCTCACAATGACAGCAACACGGGGGAGAGTGGATTCGGGCTGACCTCCAGGCCCCCGAGGGAGGTTGTCCCCCTGCCCTTGCCACGCAGGCCTGGTGCGTCCCAGAGGAGCCGGAGGGGAGAGGTGCAGGGCGACCGCTGGCTGGAGCTGCCCGCTCCTCCCTGGCCATCCAGGACCTAGGAGGCCCTGGGTCCGAGTCTCATCGTGTTTGCCTATCGGAGGGTCTGGGCTGGGCGAGGCCCCCTGCCCCCAGCCCCCTGCACCCACTGGCCTGTGCTCTCTGCCCTCAAGGTCCCGTGCCCTCGGTGGTGAGGACCGAGATCTTCCTGCAGTCCTCCCGGCCGGCCGCCTTCATGGTGGACGGGGCTGTGCACTGGCTCACCAACTTCATCGTGGGCTTCGTGTTCCCTTCCGTCCAGGTGAGCAGGGGGTGGGCGGGAAGCACAGTGGGTGTCCCCCCCCCCCCCCCCCCGAGGCAGGAGCCTTCAGGAACCAGGCACAGGTTCCTTCTACGAAGAACATCAGCGATTTCAACACACGTGGCACCTCACTGGCCAAACGCGGCGAATGTGCCCGTTCCCACTTGCGGTGGGAGCCCCTCGCTCGGTCCTGACGGCCAATTACCAGGGGCTCCCGTCCGCCGAGGTCAAAGGCAATCAGCAGCGCCCAGGAGCCAGGGGCTGGAAACAGGGCTGCTTGCTGCTGCCTCCTTCCTGCTTCTGAAGGCAGGCACCTCGGCTCTCCCTTCCCCACACCCCAAGGCCGGAGGACACAGGGTCCCCGTTGTGAAAAGGCTGGGGGGTCCTTTCCCACATGATGGGGGGGCCCGACGTTCCAGCCCTCTCCCTCCTCGGGGCGTCACACAATCCAGAGGCCTCCAGCCGCGGCCCCTGCCTGTCCCCTCCTCCCTCCCGCTCTCTCCTCTCTCGCCCAGGAGGCCATGGGGGCCTACAGTTTCATCCCCTTTGCCGCGATCTGCCTCCTCACCGCCATGTACATCTACGTGGTGATCCCCGAGACCAAGGGCCAGACGTTCGTGGAGATAAACCGGATTTTTGCCAAGAGGAACGGAGTGGAGATTCCAGAGCCGGAAGAAGGAGCCGCAGATGCTGAGCCTCACACGTCTCCGCCCACCAAGGGGACGTCCTTCTGATGGCCCTGCAGGTGCCACCCCACGGCCTCCATCCCTGAGACAGGGACCCCCGCCCCAGCCTTGCCAGAGGGTCCCAGCTCCGAGCCTTCTGTGCCCCGGAGGCAACGGGAAGGCTTTGGAAGGAACTGATTGGTGGAGATGTTGTTGGCTGCCAACCACGTCTGGGTGGTGTGACTCCGGAGAATGGGCAGGTCGTGGGCATTGACTGGCAGGACTCTGATTCTGTGGATGCATGAGTCAGAGACTCGTGGACTGTTTAGAAAAACACCCTCTCGCGGTTGGTCAGCTGACATCTGCCCTGGAAACAGGAGAGCTGCTGTATCGTAAGGTACAAAGTGCCAACGCTCACTCGGTAAGAAACAGACAGCCTGTGTAGTCCTACATCAACGGAAGAAATTGAATTGGTGGGCAAAAGCCTTCCCACAGAGAGAAAACCCCAGGCCCAAATGGTTTCACTGGTGAAGGCTACCAAATATTTCAGGAAGAAATAATACAAGTGCGACATAAAGTCTTTCAGAAAATTAAAGGCTAATATGCAAGTGTCAGACCAACCGGTAGCTATGATACGCACTGACCACCAGGGGGCAGGCACTCAATGCAGGAGCTGCCCAGCTGCAGTGACTTGGCAGAGGTGACGCACCCCAAAACCAGAGAGGAGGGAGCCCGGATCCTCGCAGGGCTGCACGATTCCACCTTCGGCCGTGGGTTGTGCTGTTGCTGGGGCACTGTCGGCCCGAATCTGGTTGACTGCACACGTGCGTTTGTGCTCTGCACCCTGTAGACAGCAGCTTTGCAGAGTGCCCTCTCCCACTCCGGGACCCTCGGGGGATGTCAGAGAGCCGGCTGCCGCCAGATCCCTGCAGGCCAGGCTGAGGGACCTCGCTCACTCCACAGACACCCTCTGAGCCACGGTGTCACCGCAGGTACAGGCAGCCAGGAAGAGACCACGGGATGTTGGCTCCAGGGCACATCCGCCCTTCTCGCCCAGTCCCACCCTGCCAGCCACTTTCTAATTAATTTTCTTTCAATGTGCACGAATCCGTGCACCGGGTCGCTAGCTTTTAATAAGAAATGATTAATTAAAAATATTTTCCATTTCTCGTAAATGAGTTGCACCGTCTCCGGGGGGACTGCACCAGGCGGGGGCTCGATGTGGCCTTGGAGAGCCTGGTCCCCACGGTGCCACAGGCACGATGCCCTGAAGCCGGTCCCTGAGGTGCCGGGACCCTTCCCTTGTCCTGGCCTGGGACCCGCAGGCCCTCTGTCCCCAGCCCCGCGGACGAGGCACAGCCCTGAGAGCAAAGTCCCGGCCACTGCTCCCCTCGGTGCCGTGTCAGCACCGCAGCAGGCGCCCCGCGGGTGCGTGCCCATGGGCCTGCCTCGTGGCCAGTGACCCGGAGCTCCGGGGGAGACCGGGCAGCCTCGCCCCACGCGGCCTCACCAGGGCTGCTGGTCTGAGGCCGGGGCTCAGGCTGAGTCACTCCCCGTGTCCCTGTCCCGTGTCCTCCTTGAGATGCCCAGTGGCTCTGTGTCCTTTGCTGGGCTTGCCCGGGCTCCCTAATCTGGGGCCCACGCCCAGGAGCTGCCAAGAGGTGACTCCCCAGATAAGGCGGGGTGCCCGGGCCAAGGTCCCCAGGAAGGGAGGGTGAGCCACGGCCTCAGGGTGAGGCGGCGGGTGTCATCTGGCCACATGCCATCCTGCAGAGGCATTTGCAGTGGCACGTGGGCCAGGAGGTGTGGGTGGAGCCGGCCTGTCCCCTGGGCGGCCTGGAGCATCCAGTGGCTGGTTCAGCTCCTGTCTTCAGGAAGGAGAGGGGGAGGGAGGGAGCAGGAGGGAGGGACAGGCGGGGGGCTCAGGGTCGGCCGCGTACACAGCCGGCAAGGTTTGGCTCTGAGGAGCAGCCCCTCGGAGAGAAGACTGGCTTCAGGTGTGGGGTCAGGTGTCCCCTGTAAAATCACTCAACCCAGCCCCGCCCCCAGTCCCGCCCCCAGCCGCGGCCTTGGCTTCCCAGGCTGGCTGCCCGGTCCAGTGTTCCGGATGCTCCTTCCTCTTCCTGAGATCATGGATTTCGGTTGACAAAGACCTTGGTGAGCAGCCCTCAGTCCCTGTCCCCAGAAGGCATCCTCGGCAGCTCCTGGGACAGCCCTGCAGCTCTCAGGCCTCGGCTTGGACGCCTCCGTGGGCAGGCAGTTCCTCGCCGGCCAGGCCAGCGCCGCCCAGCACGGACGCCGGACACAGCCGGGCCTGCATGCCGGGCCCCGCCTGCGTGTGTCCTGGGCTCCGTCTGCGTGTGCCCTGGGCCCCGTCCGCGTGTGTTCTGCGTGTTTCCTCATGTGGCTTCAGGGGAAGAAGCGGTGCCCGTTGGGAGGGCAGCTCTCTCCCCGGCCGCCTGCTCCTCTCCGGCTCCGTGTTCTCTCCGCCTTCCAGAGGCTCCGCCGCCGGGGCTGGCCCGGCTGGTTCTGGGGAAGCCACGCCGCCGCCGAGCCTGCCCCGCGCCGGCCGCCGCTGCGCGTGCATGATCATCGGGAGCCGCCTCGTCCCAGAAAACGCGTGTTACCGACCTGCTCTGACCCCAGCCCCTTCCGTGGAGCTCGGCCCCTGGTCCCCCCTCTGCCTGCGCCCCATCCCCGCCCCAGCCCAGACATCTCCCTCCGGGCGGCTCCGACAGTATCGTCCCCCAATGGATCGGTCATTGTACGTGTTTTTTTTCCCTTCTTCTTCTTTTTAAATAAAATATTTTAATTGGTTTCCAAGAGGAAGGAACAGGGAGAAAGAGAGAAACTTCCATGATGAGAGAACCATTGATGGGCTGCCTCCTGCATGCCCCTCACTGGGCATAGAACGGTGACCTCCTGGCTCCTAGGTCAATGCTCAGCCACCGAGCTACGCCCGCCCAGCAGGTCTCATGTCCAGGGAGACGCCGCCACCTCAGCTGTCTGCCCCACAGCCTGGCCCTGGCCGGGCCCCCGGTGCAGGAGGGAGACCCGCTGGTCAGGAGCGCGCTCACCTTCCTGCCCCATCCTGGGGCCTCAGCGAGGGAGACACATGACATTTCACCCCTAAATATCTTACTTTGGAATTTTTCAAAATAAAGTCATGTTTTGGTATAATACCTTGATTTCACATACAAAAAAAAAAAATCAATCTCTAAATACCATCTGCTATTCCTCCGCGTTCAATACCTGCATCCCCCCCAGATGTGTTTGCACTGCTCCTTTCAGGCACCATGAGGCGCCATGGAGCTTTCCATTCAGTTCACCACCGCCACCGTGTGTGTGCTGCCTGCCTTCACAGGCGGTGAGGTGCATTGGAGCCCTGGTGCTTGTGACGCTGCAGGCCCAGCTGCAGGCCCAGCTCGCCCCCTCCCCCTCCCTCTGGCTGCAGGCATCCTCTCTAGGGTCCCGCTCTCGTGGGGGCCTCGATTCTCTGCGGATATTTACTGGGCATGTGCAGTGCCATGTCATCCACACGAAGACTCCAATGATTGGTGATGACTTAACCTATGACCTCTCCCTGCAGTGATTCCTTTACAAAGCGAAGCTTTGAAAGGGCTAGCTGCCCCTCCTGGTATTTTTTTTTTTTTAATGTATTTTTATTGGTTTCAGAGAGGAAGGGAGAGGGGAGAGAAATAGAAACATCAAAGTTGAGAGAGTTATGGATCAGTGGCCTACTGCACACCCCCTACTGGGGATGGAACCTTAACCTGGACATGTGCCCTGATTCCCAATCCAACCATGACCTCCTAGTTCTGTGGTCGGCAAACTGCGGCTTGTGAGCCACATGCGGCTCTTTGGCCCCTTGAGTGTGGCTCTTCCACAAAATACCACGGCCTGGGCAAGTCTATTTTGAAGAACTGGCGTTAGAAGTTTAAGAAATTTGGCTCTCAAAAGAAATGTCAATCGTTATACTATTGATATACTATTGATAGTTGGCTAAGTTGACTAATGAGTTTGCCGACCACTCCCTAGGCCGATGTTCAACAGCTGAGCTACATGCCGGGCCGTCTGGTAGTTCGGGTCCAGTCTCCCCAGTTGTTTCTGTGGCGTCTTATTTGGAGACTGTGCCCATCCAGCTGGGGGGCGGGGTCAGGCCCCTGGTGACAGGGGGGTGGGTGGACAGGAAGGGCTGGGCAGCTGTCCCCCAGGTGTGAAGGTGCTTTGAATTTCATAAAGTGGACCCAGAGGCAAGAGGGCCACCGCCCAGTGCAGTCCCGTCTTCCTGTGCTGCTAGTCCCTCATACGCCTGTGACTTATCATGTGACCTTTACAGGTCCTGTTATGTGCCTCAGTTTACCAATATGGAAAATGAGAGGGGATGGGTAGATCTCTCAAGTCTCCTGAGCCCAGTCAGTGTGGCTCGGTGGCTGCGTGAGTGTGGACCTATGGATCAGGAAGTCACGGTTTGATTCCTGGTTTAGGGCACATCCTGGGGTTGCTAGCTGGATCCCCAGTGTGGAGTGTGCGGAAGGCAGCCGATCAATGATTCGCTCTCATCATTGATGTTACTATCTCTTGCTCCCTCTCCCTTCCTCTCTGAATCAATAAAACTGAATAAATGCATGCATCCATGCATACATACATACAATACAATACAATCCCATCCCCTAGGCACAGGCCATGCCATCCTCCTAGCGGCCACTGGAGGGCAGCACCTCCTCTCCAAACGCAGCCTTCAGCTCAGCCCTCTGTCAGTCCTCTGCAGAACCCTGGCTTTAGTTACATTTTCACTGAAGGGACCCCCAGGACCTGCCTTTGGGGAAATTCCTGGCACTGGAGAGAGAGAGAGGAACACCCCTGAGAGCACCAGGGACCAGCTGCTGGGCTGTTTCTACTGAATATTTTGTTTCTCGAACCTTTTCTGGGGCCATGCACTTGTGGGCACCAGCCTTGGACGTGGGAATCCAGGGGCTGCGAGGGCTGGGCCAGCTTGGCCCCAGAGGCCCCATGGGGCAGCAGGGCTGGTCCTCCCGCCCAGGAGTCTGCTCCGGGCTGTGTGAAGGCAGATTCCTCCTGCTCTCCCTGCGGTGTGCCCTCCCAGGAAGCTTCTGGAAAACAAACTTGACTTCAGGAACTCAAGTTAGAAAAGTGTTCCCAGGGCCAACCTGGGGGACACCAGATTAGCCCCAAACTGGCATCACAACATCTTGTCGTTTCCCTTCCATGTTTGTTTTTCGTTTTTAAACCAAATTCATCCCGATTCCTACTCTGTGTTGTGTGTGGTAGTGAAAAGCTGAAATTAGAAATGAACAGTAAGCAATGACACAAGTCAGTAGTGATATTTGCACTATTCCACAAAAATTATTAAAATGTCCATTGGTGGGTGGAAACTTTCATTTTCTAGCCTTTCAATGTTAACACAATGCGATTGGCTACTTTAAAAAAAAGTTAAAATTTTTAAATGTTAGAAGATTCTAGATCTTTTTCCTTCATTCTTTCTTTTGTTTTGTTATTCTTTTTCTTTTTTCTCTTTACAGAAGCCATGCTTGTTTTTTTTTTTTGTTTTGTTTTGTTTTGTTTTTAAGTATAATCTAAGCCGCTTAGAAAAGGATCGTTTAAATCCTTGGTGTGGAACCTTCCAGATCTCTCTATATATTCACACACACACACACACACACACACACACTCACTCACTCATACCAGCCTCATCTCCAAACTCACTCTCCAGGGTGGGACATTAACAAAATGTACAGCTACTTACTTCAAAACTGGGTTAGAACAATGGCTAAAATGTCCTACAGAACCGACAATTCCCACTGGACTCTACCCTCAGGAGCTGCAGGTGGCCATCACTCTCTCGTCACCTCCCTGGTGCTGTCCCCCTCCCCCCCCCCTCCTCCTCCTCTTCCTCCTCCTTCTCTTCAGGGGACTCACTTCCTTTCCGGTCCACTGCCCCCCCCATGTCCAGCAGGCGGACAGGAGGGGCCCTGGGCAGTGATGGAGGCCAAGCCACTCACTGGGCTGGCGGGAGGTGGCCGGGCATGGGCAGCTGCAAACACCCCTCCAGACAGACAGCTCTCCAGCTCTGCCCCGCCCGCCTTGACATTCCACCTTCCTCAGCTCCTGCCTCCGTGCCCAGCAGCTCTGCTGGCCCCTGACCCCTGACCCCCGACCCCCGCTCACCCAATGCAGCAGGTGCCCCTGCCCGGGGAGGGCGGCAGGGAGACCGGGGGCTTCGGGGGCTGCCTCAGCCTCTCCCACGCCTCGTCCTCGGGGAGAAGCACAGGGCGCCCGGGGCTGAGTGCTGGGTGCTGGGTGCTGGGTCCTCGGCTCCGGGCGCGCCCAGGCGGCCCGTCACCCTGGGGCGGGGCGGGCTCCTCCCTCCGGAGGGCGCCGAGCTGTCCCCCCCATTGGGGCCCTGAGGCTGCAGAGGGCCCGGGGCACGGTCAGGCGGAGGGCCCCCCCCCCGGAGCCGCCGGCCAGCCCCGCAGCTGCCTCACAGGCCGGTGGACAAGCGAGGGGAGGCTCTGGAGGCGAGGAAAGTGGCGGCCAGCGGCCTGGGTTCAATCCGAGCCGCGGCAGGTGAGCTGGCCTCCCGCTGCCTCCGGTTCCTTCCCGGGAACCGGAGGGAGGCCCGGCCGGACCCCTGCCCCCGTGGGGCACAGTGGAGGGAGGGGGCCCAGAGCGGAGGGAGGGGGGTCCCCGGGCCCCCACCCTCCGCTCTGCCCTGCGGGGCACCCCCTCCGCTCTGGGCCCCCTCCTGCACACCCCCCACTGGGGATGTGCCCGCAACCAAGGTACACGCCCTTGACCGGAATCGAACCGAGACCCTTCAGTCCCCAAGCCGACGCTCTATCCACTGAACCAAACCGATCTCGGCTCTTCCTGAGTCTTAATCTTGGTCCTGGAAACCCTCCCAGCGGATCCCTATCCGTCCCGGGTCCCTCCGGGCGGGACAGGAGGGCATGTGACGCGGGACCAAGGAGGCGGGAAGAGACGTATTTCCAAAGCCTTTACTGCATCTACAGGCTACGGGGAAGGGGAGCTGGTCTGTTGGAAGCTCAGCGAGTCCCACGGGTGTCGCCTCACATCCTCCTCAGACGTTCCCGCCGGCTCGCTGCCTCCGGGAGGACGGTCTCGGGTTCGAATCAGAGGTTGCACGGGTGCGTGGGGGGAGCAGGGGGCCGGGCGGGGCCGCCTGGGGCCGGGCCCCTCCGGCCCTCTCTCCGGGAGCTCAGGGGTACCTGGAGTACCGGCCTCGTCTCCTCCCTAGAACCTCCATGAAGCTGATCAGCTCGTCCAGCTTCTTGTGGATCCAGTGAGTGTTGAGCAGGAGCTGGGAGCCGAGGGCGTATTCTGTGAAAGGAAGAGCCCCCAGGAAGAGGTCGGGGGGATGTGGGGGTCCCGTGAAACCAGGGAGCGCGGGGCAACAGGTGCCCCTCCCCCCCCCCGTGAGCTCAGGGCAGCGTGGGTGATGCCGCTGAAGGCCCTGTCCCCCTGCCTTCCGGCATCTTCTCTGGGTCTGAGTCCAGGCTGGCCAGCCGCCCGCCTGTGGGGGGTGACGTGCCAAAGGCGGGGCTGTACTCCTGCACCTGTTTCCCCCGTGGTGCCCAGCGGGCCTGCCTCGCCGTAGAGCACGTCAGTGCTTTCTGGGAAGTTGACCGCGGCCAGTATCTGACCAGCTGCCCAGACTAGGAAAATGGGTCACCCCCTTTGTCCGGCACACGGTGGTCCATCCGAGCCTCCAGCTGCTCAGACACTCTCCTCCCCTCGGTGGCCAGGAGAGAGAGGCCAGGAGAAAGAGGCCAGGAGAGAGAGGCCAGGAAGAAATGGCCAGGAGAGAGAGGCCAGGGAGAAATGGCCAGGGAGAAATGGCAGTGGATCTTACGGTAATTAGGGTGGTAGACAAAGTTGGCTTCCACCACCCTGCTGTTCAGGGGCTGGGTCCTGCGGTAAATGTTGCGGATGATCTTGTGGTGGTCGTCCACTAAGGAATTCTCTAGCTTCCCCACCTGCAGGCAACAAGGAGTGACTTATGGAGAGGCAGGGACACCGGGGCGATGGGAAAGAGTCGCGTTAGAAATGGGACTCGGTCTTGGACTTGAGCAACTCGGATAAAACAGCTGTGAGAGTTCAAGCCCAGAGCAGGCACGGGACACGCATCCCTCTATTCTTATTCAGAAATCTCTCTTAGTTGTTTTCTAGGAGTCTTGGGTTGACAGTAGAAAGGGGAGGGAGAAGTCAACAGAGACGTGCCAGGCAGCAAGCTCGGTGCTCATTTTTCCTGAAAATACCTGTGTTCCGTCTACATCCTCGAAATGACTTTTGCTGCACGTAGAGTAGTAGGTCAGCTGTTCTTTCTCTCGGCGCTCTGGAGAGACGATCCCACTGCTTTCCGACTCTCACTCTGCAGTGCGGAGTCTGCTGCGGTGTAATCCTGCTCTCTTCATGGTAATCTGTTCTTTCCCACCTCTGGCTGATGTTTAAATTGTTTCCTTTGTCTGATTTCACTCTGCTATGTTTAGTGTGTGTGTGTTTTAAAATTTACATTGAGCTCTAGCCGGTTTGGCTCAGTGGATAGAGTGTCGGTCTGCGGACGAAAGGGTCCCAGGTTTGATTCCAGTCCAGGGCACATGCCCGGGTTGTGGGCTTAATCCCCAGTGGGGGGAGTGTAAGAGGCAGCCCATCAATGATTCTCTCTCAATATTGATATTTCTATCTCTCTCTCTCTGAAATCAATAAAAAATATTCTTTTAAAAAATAAAATGAGTAAAATTTACATCGACGCATGGCGCTTCCTGAATACGTGTCTATGACTTGGTGTCTTCCAGCTCTTCTGAAAATTTGTCAGCGGATATTCCGCAAATTGTACCTCCTCTCTATGCTGCCTTTCTTCTCCTGGAGTTTCAACTGGATATTTGTTAGATTTTCCACTCTATTCTCTGTCTCTTTATTTCTTTTCCACCTCTTTTTCTCTTTGTGTTTCATTGTAGGTAATTTTCTCAGCTTGGTCTATGAAATGCATTTTTTTTACTCTGTTTTTACTATCTTTTCAATTCTAGAAAGTCTATTTGGGTTTATTTTTTTCAAGTCTATGTGGTCATTTTTATACTTTTTGTTCTTTTATCATATTTAAAACTCATATTAGACATATTAAACATGCTTCTACCTATTATGCGGTTTTACATACATAAACATTTTATATTAACAGATAACTCTGCTACCTGAAACTTGTGTGGGTCTCTTTCCGTTGGCGCTCACTCATGGTGTCTTTTTCCTTGTGTAATTTCTGATTTTGTTTCTAATTAAGCTCATTTCCCGTAACTTGGCGGAAATTCGTCAACATATGGGTTGAAGGTGCGCTTTTCCAGAGATAATTTACATTGGATTCTATTAGGTACCTGGGCACTTTCAGCTTTTGGTCAGCGACATTTTTGTGTGTGGGAATGGGTCTCCTTGAACGTGGGTCTCTCCACCTTCCCTGGAGGAGGGACATGACCTACCGGCGATGCCGTCCTGCACAAAGCCATTGGTGAAGTCACCATGCAGGCCCAGGGGCACGGGGTTTTGTACTTCCTGGGCCCAGGCAGGGCCTCGAAGAGCGGCCCCAATGAGTATTCGCCTTCACTGGGCCACTTCCCTCCCCTGGCCTGGGTCGGCTCCGTCCTTTTGCTGCCTGAGTATGGCTCCTTGGGTGATGCCTGTCTGCCCATCTCTGCCACCGCACTGGGAAGATACCCCAGCAACAGAGGGCGGCCAGCAGCCCCCCCTTGGAAAGCACCACAGGAGCCGGCATTGGCCTTGTGTGGGTTCGGGGAGCACTCTTGTTGGCCAGGCGGTCAGGGGGGGCCTGGGCGGAGGGCTGCACGGTACCTGAGCCTTGGAGAGCTGCACGGTGTCGGCCAGCAGGAACCAGCGGACGTTCTCCGTGCAGGGCGGCGTGGTGAGCGAGCCCCCGTAGGTGTAGTAGCGGCGGAGGTCCACGGGCAGCATGTTCCGGACGTCAAGGCTGTCCAGAACGGTGCTCTGTCCTAACGGGGCCGCAGACAGAGGGCGTGAGGGACCGCGGCGACTCGGCCCAGAGCTCCCCACCGGCACCCTCCTGGCCACGCGGAGGGCGCGGAAGCTGAGTCCCAGGAAACCTCTCCCCCAGGGTGCTGCCTCCTGGAAGGATGGAGAGCAAAGACCCCTCCACTGCCTCCTCCTGGCCGGCCAGGTCCTCCGCCCTGAAGGCTGCTCCTCCTCTGTGACCAGGGAACGGCCAGGAGGGCTGTTGTGGGGAAGGGGAGTGTTTTAAAGTGCTGGGTGGGACCAGCCCGGCCACTGCTCGAGTGTAACATCATCGTCATCGTCGTTGTCGCCGTCGTCGGCTGAGGCCAGGGCAGAGGGTTTCGGGGAGCAGAGGAGGCGGGAGGGGGCATTTTGGAGAGGGGAGAGCTGTGCCCGGAGGAGCTGTCCACATCTGTAGCCGCGAACAGCAACACGATGTCTGTTCCTGCCCAGCCGTTGCAGCAGTGGCCGCCGGCAGGGCATGGTCTGGGCTTTGTTACGGAGGATGGGGGGGGCAGGACGAGGGCGTGGAGGGCGCTGGTCAGAATGGAAGCCCTGCCACCTGCGAGGTCACGAGATGAAAGGCCCGAGGCTGACCCACAGGAGGCCCAGGACAGGAGGTTGGGGGGCTTCGGGGAGGGGCAGGAACAGACGTGGCCAAGTGGGAGGCACAAAGCCACGCCGTCAAAGCTGACGTGGTTGTTGCTCAAGGTCAAGGGCTGGCCCTGGGAGTAGGTGGTCCCTCTGACCAGAACTGGCCTCCCAAAGGCAGAGGGTGGGAACACTAGCCCCCGGTCTGCGTGTCCCCGGTCTGCGTGTCCCCCAGTCTGCAAGTTCCCCAGTCTGTGTGTCCCCCGGTCTGCGTGTCCCCCGGTCTGCGTGTCCCCCGGTCTGCGTGTGTCCCCGGTCTGCGTGTTCCCCCGGTCTGCATGTTCCCCAGTCTGTGTGTCCCCCGGTCTGCGTGTCCCCGGTCTGCGTGTCCCCGGTCTGCGTGTTCCCGGTCTGCATGTCCCCGGTCTGTGTGTCCAGGCACAATGATGAGGGGCTTCCGTCTAGCTCCGTGGTTGGCAAACTGCGGCTCTCGAGCCACATGGCCCCTTGAGTGTGGCTCTTCCACAAAATATGAGTCTAGTTTGAAGAAGTGGCGTTAGAAGAAGTTTAAGTTTAGAAAATTTGGCTCTCAAGAGAAATGGCGATCATTGTCCCGTTGACATTTGACTCTGTGGACGAATGAGTTTGCCGACCGCTGGGCTAGAGCTTCGTCTCAGCTTAACACCGAGGGGGACGCCTCTCCCCCAGGGCTCATCTGCCACCCTCCCCCCAAGCGCCACCCTTCCCTGCCCCCCACCCCCCAGCCCTGTCCCCACCTCACACTCCCTCCTGCTCCCTCCTGCCGCTGTGGCCTCCTCACCTGAGTACCTGACAGACGTCAGGTGAGAGAAGAAGTCGCTGTAATAGGTGTTTTCCTCGTAGTCCTTGATCTGCAGGGAAACAGCAGTGACCTCGGTGGGGAGGCCGGCCCTGTCCCCTCCGGCCTCCTGCCGGGTCCCTGGCTGGCTGGGCAGAGCCACGGGGGCCGAACGGGGCACAGTCTGGCTTTGCCACGACTGCCTGGCCCCCAGCCTCTCCTGAAGCGTTTGGGCAGCTTCGTGGGAAGGGCCGGAAGTCACGCCGGACCGTCCCGGCCACCCCAGCACCCGTCAGGCCCTGGCTGCCCGCCTGCCCGCCGCCAGCTCTCTTCCGTTTTCAGATGAGTGTTGACGTTCTTAAAGTCAGAAAAGTTGCTTTGGATGGAAAAGGTCTATTTTCAACGTCTCTTTCCAGTCAGTGGGGTTGGTCCACGTCCTCTTCCAGATTTCTGAGATTCATAACCGCCCCCTGCTGTTGGCTTCCTAAATGTGCTGTGTCTTGCCAGAGTCGGTGTGGCTCAGTGGGTAGAGCGTCGGCCTTCAGGCTGAAAGGTCCCAGGTTTGATTCCGGTCAAGGGCACATGCCCAGGTTGTGGGCTCCATCCCCAGTGGGGACCTGCAGGAAGCAGCCGATCCATGATTCTCTCTCATCGTGAATGTTTCTCTCTCTCTGTCCCTCTTCTTTCCTCTCTGAAATCAATAAAAATATATTTAAAAATAAATATAAAAAATAATAAATGTGTCGTCTTTTTTTTTTCCTTTTTTTTTTCTTTTTTCTTTTTTTTGTTTTTTTTTTCCCCCTCTGTTCCACTTTCTGTGCTCAACAAATACTTTCCGTGTACCCCGGAACGCTGTTTAGTTCTGTTCTTGGTGGTTGCTGTAGTGATTACAATATACAACTTAACTTAGGTTGATACTAATTTAATTCCAATAAAATATAGCCACTTTCGTCCCAGCTGGTTTGGCTCAGTAGATAGAGCGTTGGCCTGCAGACTGAAGAGTCCTGGGTTTGATACCAGTCCAGGGCACATGCCTGGGTTGCGGCTTCCATCCCCACTAGGGGGCGTGCAGGAGGCAGCTGATCAATGAATCTTTCTCATCGTTGATGTTTCTATCTCTCCCTCTCCCTTCCTCTCTGAAACTAATAAAAATATATTTTTAAATAATAATAATAATAAATAAAATATAGCAATTTTCCTCCAGTTGCTATTTCTTCCGCATCTTTCATCATCCATAATTACATCTACGTATATCATAAATCCAACAATACAGTGGCACTATTATTGCTTTAAGCTATTTTATGGCGGTTTTTTGAGACCCCCACCCAAAAAAAATATATACTATCTGTAGATGCTCTTTTGTCTGTACCCACTGATCTATCTATCATTTCTGGGCCTCTGCATTGCTTTCTGTGGATCTGGGTTACTGTCTGGTGTCATTTTCTTTCGGCCCAAGGATTTCCTTTCATACTTACAAGAAGCTTGCTAGCAATTATTTTAGTTTTTGTTTATCTGGGAGTGTCTTTATTTCACCTCATTTTTGAAGAGTGGTTTAGGACGTGGCTTTCTGGTTGACTGTCATTCCACTGCCTTCTGGGGACTTGTTTCTGTGAGATGTCAGCCGTTAGTTGTACTGCCTGTCTGTGTAGATAAATTCTTTTTCTCTTGTTGCTTTCAGCAGTTTGACTTTGATGTGTCTGCGTGTTGATCAGAAGTGGGGTTTGTTGAGTTTCTTGGGCTGGTAAATTAATGTTTTTCATCGAATTTGGAGAACTTGGGGCCATTGTCTCTTCAACTTTTTTTTCCTGCCACTTTCTCTGTCACTTTCTCTTCTGGGACTCCCATTATGTGTATGTTGGAACATGTGGTCTTGTCCCCATGAGTCTCTAAGGCTATGTTTGTTTTCTTCCATCTTTTCTCTTTGGTCTTCAAGATGAATAATTTATTTGTTCTACCTTCAGATGCACGGATTCTTTTGCTGCCTCAAACCTTGCATTAAGCTCTTGTTGTGAATATTTTCATTTTGTTCATTATCTTTTCAACTCTAGGCTTTCCATTTGGTGCATAATTATTGTTTCTGTTTATCTATTGAGACTTACCTTTTGGGATCATTGTCATATTTTCCTTTAATGATTTGAACGTAGTTTTTCAAAAATCCTTTGCACATATCTATGATAGTTGTTTTCAAGTGCTGTCTGCTAAATCACTCTGGATCCACTCAGCATCAGTTCTATTGACGGCTTTCTCTTCTCTAAAATATGGATCACATTTTCCAATTTCTTTGCATGCCCAACTTTTTTGTTGTTGTTGAAAACTGGACATTTTAGATAATGCATTAGTAGCAAATATGAATTCCGATTTTTAAAAATTGTGCTAAGGGTGTGTTTTTCGCTTGTTTGTTTGTCTGTTTAGCAAGTTGTCCTGGCTTTGTTGCATGATACATCTTCCCAGCAGCATGTAGCAGCTGATGTCTTTGCTCTACTCTGTTTTTTTTTGTGTGTGTGTTTTGTTTGGTTTTCTTTTTTTCCTAAAAGAACAGGAAGGTGTTCCCCCCCAGTTCTGGAGGATAGACACAGGTAATCGCGGTGCCTTGATGGCCACGCCCCCTCTGGAGGCTGCAGGGGAGACACCTCCTGGCCTCTCCCAGCTTCTGGGTGCTGTAAGCAACCCTCGGCGTCTCTCCAGTCTGCACCTGCCGGCACATGGCCGTCTCCCCTCCGCATCCGCGTGTGTCTGTCTCTGCTCAGTTCTCCAAGGTCGGTTTTAGTTTGTAGCCTGGATTCCTAGGGGCCTCCGAAGGTCAGCGGAGATGTGGTCAGTCAAGGCTCTGAGCAGAGGTCATGCTAAGAGCCCTGAGCCCTTCCCTAGACTTCACCCTCTGCTGACGGGGCTGGGGGAGGGCCGGAGCCCAGCCAGGCCTCACGCGGCCGCAGCGTCTGCTCCCACCTCGTGGGAAGTGGCTGGTGCCTCTGTGGCCCTCCTCCCCAGGGCATCTCCCATAAACTGCTGGTCGCTCTGCCGCTCGCCGCTCGCTGCTCGCCCCAGCTGGGACTGCTCCGCAGGCTGTCAAAGCTGCGCGTTCTCTCCGTTTTCTGTCTTTTCTTTCAAATTCGCTACTTATACTGATAGCCCCCCCCCTCCAACTTTTCAGCTTTTACCCCGAATCCAGTCAGCCCCCGCCCCAGGCAGTGCAGCTGCTGGTGTTCCTGTCCACCCCCACCCCCCGCCCCCGATAAGCCACCTTGCTGACTGAGTTAGGGATGGGGATGGGAAGTCCCCCGCTACCACTGCTCTTGCTCAAACTTCTAGCCCAGCGGCAGCATGGCCCGTGTTTGAGCTTCAAACTATGGACCAGGAGGTCCCGGTTCGATACCCCGTCGGGGCACATGCCTGGCGTAGGGCGTGCAGGAGGCAGCCGATCTGTGGTTCTCTCGCATCATTGATGTTTCTCCCTCTCTCCATCTCCCTTCCTCTCTGAAACCAATAAAAATATATTTTGTAAAACGTCTAGCTACTTTCCCCAAGTAAATGCCTCCATTTGCTGTTGCCTTTGGTCTGCTTTCTAAGTGCTGATGTGGTTGCTTGTGATCATTTTATCCATTTTAATACTGGTTTGCGGGGGGACGGGGTCCAGCGGCTACTCCATGCCACGGAGCCGCAGGTCCACCCTCCGGACTTCCGTGGAGACTCAGAGGTGTTGCCGGCACCCAGGGCCGCAGGCCTCCCCGGACCCTGCCCCCAGCGGAGGTCCAGGCAGCCTCTGCGACCCCAGCCTGGCAGGTGCTCTCTCAGGTCACCTAGCCCACGGTCCCCGAGTTTGATGGCGCAGAAGGAACATGCGTTAGAATTGTCCCCGGGTCAGCATGTCCCAGGGCTGGGGGCTCAGGACCAGGGAGCAGGGGCAGGAAGGAGCCCCCGTGTGGACACCGGTCTGCACCGGCCATGCGGTTGTGCCCACTGCCTACCTCGATGAGGGCCCCCAGCACAGCCAGGCCGTCGGGAGCGTCCTTGGCCACGTCGAAGCTTTCGTATTTGGAATTGTAGTGAACGACGTGAATCTGGGGGGGCAAGACAAGGTGGGTCAGGGGCCATCGTGCCGACTCCGAAGGCTTCAGGTTTGCAGGAAGGAGGGAAGCAGAGGCTCCACCGAGGCCTCAGACAAACAACACCGCCCTCCCCTGTCTCTCTCCATCTCCCTCCGTCTGGGCCATGAGATCTGTCAAGTCCAGAAAAGTTCACCCTGGCCAGTTCTGCTCAGGGGTTAGAACATTGGCCCAAGGACTGAAGGGTCACAGGTTCGATTTCAGTCAAGAGCACAAACCTGGCCGGCACCGGTTTGGCTCAGTGGATAGAGCGTCGGCCTGCGGACTGAAAGGTCCCGGGTTCGATTTCGGTCAAGGGCATGTACCTTGGTTGCGGGCACATCCTCAGTGGGGGGTGTGCAAGAGGCAGCTGATCGATGTCTCTCTTTCATTAATGTTTCTAACTCTCTATCCCTCTCTCTTCCTCTCTGTGAAAAATCAATAAAATATATTTATAAAAAAAAAAAAAAAAAAAAAAAAAAAAAGAGCACAAACCTGGGCTGCAGGCTTGATCCCGGGCCCCGGTTGGGGCATGTGCAGGCGGCAGCCAATCGATGTGTCTCTCCCACGTTGATGTTTCTCTCTCTCTCACCCTCCCTTTCACTCTCTCCTTTAAAAAAGAAAACTAATGGGAAAAAGAAAAGACCAGAAAGTTCTCCAAGAATGGAAAGAGCAGGAGTGGGAGCCTGGGAATGTGGCAATCCGAGGGCATTTCCCTGGCCCCACCTCCCTCCAGGCAGACAAGCTGGCAGAGTCCAGCACGGTCACATGAGGCCCCGGGTCCTGAGGTCGCCGTGGGCGGGACCTGAGCGCCTTGCCCAGGGGGCCGCTGTGACCCTGGGGTCATCCTAAGGACAGATCTGAGCAGGACAGGAAACCCAGAGAGCCCAGCACACAGAGCCCAGGTGGCGTGGAGAGGGCTCTGCCTTCCCTGAGGATGGGGCCCCAGCCCGACCGGCCATGGCACTGATCCCTGAGCATCGAATGAGTGAAAAATAAACGCCATCTCCAGAGACATGGCCATCGCCACCGCAGAAAGCCTCCGGGGCTGTTTGAATAAGAAAAGTGACTGTGGCCCCGGCTGGTTTGGCTCAGTGGGTGGAGCATCGGCCTGCGGACCAAAGGGTCCCAGGTTCAGTTCTGGTCAAGGACACATGCCCGGGTTGCAGGCTTGTGGGGCGGGGATGGGGAGTGCAGGAGGCAGCTGGTCAATGATTCTCATCATTGAGGTTTCTCTCTCTCCCCTCCCTTCCTCTCTGAAATCAATAAAAACATTTTTTAAAACAGAAAACAGAAGTGACCGTGGTTTGAGGGAGGGGCCTGGTGGGCCCTCACGTACCTCGGCCGGGTAGCGGATGCCGTCGATGGTGTGCTCAGAGCCGCTGACCTCCCTGGCCGCGCCGCCCCAGTGGAAGTGCAGCTGCTGGGCGATGTACTCGGTGCCCTCGGCCGTGGTCATGCGCATGGAGTGGGGCAGGTTGATCTGCACTGGAAGAGAAAACAGGGGTTGGGGGGGAATCAAGGGGTGCAGGCGGCCAATGGACCAGGCCTCCTGGTAGGCAGCCTCCCTGTCCCTGATGAGCCGGGACAGGCTGGCTCAGTGGGCCCCAGCAGGGCCCCCTGGATGGGCGTGGAGCTGGCTGGAAACAGCCATTCTAAAGGGTCCCAAATCATCTCAAAAGCAGATTTATGAAACTCGTTCACAATGCCCGAGGGGAATCAGAGGGACGTGCATGAGCCATGAGTGTGTTCTGGCTGACGTTCTGCACACGCACAGCACGGCTGTTGCATTGTCTGGTCCAGACTTGCGACGTGGGGCCCTCCACACCTGCTTTCCTGTCTGCCTCCCCCCTTTCCGGCGGGCTTCTCTCCAGCCTCGGAGAAGTGCTGGGCCTCCTGTAGGCCCTGAGCTTAACAGGCTCCAGAGGGAAAAGGAGGGCAATCAGACAGCACCAGCCAAGGAGCACACCCGGGCGGGGCTGCAGCTTCGGCGGCATTGCCTGCACCTAGGTTTGCTGTCACCCGGGTTTGCTGTCACCTGGGTTTGCTGTCACCTGGTTTGCTGTCACCTGGTTTGCTGTCACCTGGGTTTGCCTGTAACCTGGATTTGTCTGTCACCCAGGTTTGCTGTCATCTGGTTTGCTGTCACCTGGTTTGCTGTCATCTGGGTTTGCCTGTGTCACCTGGGTTTGCTGTCACCTGGGTTTGTCTGTCACCCGGGTTTGCTGTCACCTGGGTTTGCTGTCACCTGGGTTTGTCTGTCACCCGGGTTTGCTGTCACCTGGGTTTGACTGTCACCTGGGTTTGCCTGTCACCTGAGTTTGCTGTCACCTGGTTTGCTGTCACCTGTTTGCTGTCACCTGGGTTTGCCTGTGTCACCTGGATTTGCTGTCACCTGGGTTTGTCTGTCACCCGGGTTTGCTGTCACCTGGGTTTGACTGTCACCTGGGTTTGCCTGTCACCTGAGTTTGCCTGTCACCTGGTTTGCTATCACCTGTTTGCTGTCACCTGGTTTGCTGTCATCTGGGTTTGCCTGTGTCACCTGGGTTTGCCTGTCACCTGGGTTTGCTGTCACCTGAGTTTGCTGTCACCTGGTTTGCTGTCACCTGTTTGCTGTCACCTGTTTGCCTGTCACCTGGTTTGCCTGTCACCTGGTTTGCCTGTCACCTGGGTTTGCTGTCACCTGGTTTGCTGTCACCTGTTTGCTGTCACCTGTTTGCTGTCACCTGTTTGCCTGTCACCTAGTTTGCTGTCACCTGGTTTGCTGTCACCTGTTTGCTGTCACCTGTTTGCTGTCACCTGTTTGCCTGTCACCTGGTTTGCTGTCACCTGGTTTGCTGTTACCTGGGTTTGCCTGTCACCTGGGTTTGCCTGTCACCTGGTTTGCTGTCACCTGTTTGCTGTCACCTGGTTTTCTGTCACCTGGTTTGCTGTCACCTGGTTTGCTGTCACCTGGGTTTGCTGTCACCTGTTTGCTGTCACCTGGTTTGCTGTCACCTGTTTGCTGTCACCTGGTTTGCTGTCACCTGTTTGCCTGTCACCTGGTTTGCTGTCACCTGGTTTGCTGTCACCTGGGTTTGCCTGTCACCTGGGTTTGCTGTCACCTGGTTTGCTGTCACCTGGTTTGCTGTCACCTGGGTTTGCCTGTCACCTGGTTTGCTGTCACCTGTTTGCTGTCACCTGGTTTGCTGTCACCTGTTTGCTGTCACCTGGTTTTCTGTCACCTGGTTTGCTGTCACCTGGTTTGCTGTCACCTGGGTTTGCTGTCACCTGGTTTGCTGTCACCTGGTTTGCTGTCACCTGTTTGCTGGCACCTGGTTTGCTGTCACCTGGGTTTGCCTGTCACCTGGGTTTGCTGTCACCTGGTTTGCTGTCACCTGTTTGCTGTCACCTGGTTTGCTGTCACCTGTTTGCCTCCGGTTGGGCCTGAGTGAGTGAGGTAACGCCTGAGGGAGAGCGGGGACGGGGCTGAGGAAGCGGCACTCTCCTTCAGAAGAGCCTCCTCGTTTCGTTTCGGGGCCTGACGCCGGTCACCCTCAGGCTGTGCTCCAGGTCAGCGGTCGCCAGGGGTCCGTGAGCCCGCGGCCGCCCGGCAGCAGCCCCTGCCCTTACCGGTGTGGCCGTTGTTGAGCATGCGGAAGGAGCCGTCCTGCGTGCTGTAGCCGGTCAGGTTCAGTGCGTCCAGCGCGGGGTTGTACTGCACCTTCCTCCTCTGCACGTCGATGGGCGACTGCCGGTCCCCCCCGCAGGTGGGGTACGCCTCGTGCCAGTGTGTCTCATCCCCCGGCCCCTCTGGGGGAGAGCAGAGGGGAGCACAGGTCAGGGCCCTCCCGGGCACCCCACCTAGGGCCAAGGTCAGAGCCTGCCGCTCTCAGCAGGGCCTGCCCAGCCGGGGCCCCCAGTGGCCGGCAGGATGCCAGGGTCAAGGCCAGGCTGCCCTCCAGAAAGCAGATGTGGGGCCTCAGAAGGGGGTGGGGGAGCATCTGAACCCACTCCAGGGGCCCCGCGTCTGGGCTTCCCTGTGGCAGTGCCTGCCCTGCAGACAAGACACGGTGTGTGCATGTGTGTGTGGTATGTGTGTGTGCATGCATGCGCTGCGTGTATGTGTGTATTTAATATGTTTTTTAACAGAGAGGAAAGGAGAAGGATAGAGAGCTAGAAACATTGATGAGACACAAGCATCAATCAGCTGCCTCCTGCATGACCCCCACTGGGGATCGAGCCCACAACCCAGACAGAATCAAACGTGGGTCCCTCCAGTCCGCAGGCCGACGCTCTATCCACTGAGCCAAACCGGTTAGGGCACCACCTGGTGTTTTGAAAACAGTGGTGACTACACAGCCTCCGCTTTCCCTCTGAGGGAGGCCGCTAGTAACTGTGAGGGCATCGCTGGGCCCAGGGCCTGTGCCAACGGAGAGCGTGGATTTTCCTCGTTTCCCCGGATGCCCAGGGTCCTGCGCAGCCCCGCCTCTGACGGTGACTCGGCCCCACCACCGGCAGGGCCTCCACCTGCTTCCTGGCCCGTCCTTCCACCGGTTCCAGGACCTGAGGGCAGGTGCTCGGGCAGGAAAGGAAGCACCAGATCCAAAGATGAGCAAATAGTTGGTTAAAACTTATCAGAGCAGCCCGGCCAGGGTGGCTCAGGGGTTGAGCCGCAACCTATGAACCAGGAGGTCATAGTTCGATTCCTGGTCAGGGAACATGCCTGAGTTGTGAGCTCCATCCCCAGTGTGGGGCGTGCAGGAGGCAGCCGATCAATGATTCTCTCTCATCATTGATGTTTCTCTCTCCCTCTCCCTTCCTCTCTGAAATTAATACACTGTGTGTGTCTGTGTGTGTGTGTGTGTCCTGTAAGGAAAGGAAAATTATCTCTCACAGCCACAGTGGGGAGAGTGATGACCTCAGGACAGCTGTGGGGGTGGGTCCTGGCCTCACCCCTGTGACTGTGGGTCCAAGCTCCCCCCGCCTCCCCCCGCCCCCCGCAGCAGGGAGGGCACAGCTTGGGTAAGGAGGACTTGGACCGGGCCGTGAGCAGCTTCCTGGCTTTGCAATAGTCATTCTGTGCTCCTCTGCGGGACGTGCAGACCAGGTTCACACAGTTCTCTCCCGGAGGCGGGCCTCGGCCCTGCCAGCACGGGGGCGGGGAGGGCTCAGGATTCCCGGGGCCTTGCAGTGGCTGCCCAGTTCTCCGGGCCCCTGGAGGCTGTCCGAGGCCCACAGGTTCAGCGGCAGGGCTGTTGGCATTCCCTCTCTTCCTCGCCCTCCCAGCAGGCCACGGCCTCGTGGCTCCTCAGCCCACACCCAGCACCCAGCACCCAGCACCCAGCAGCGGCCAGGGCTGGCCAGCCACCCTGTGGCTGGACCCCGGGTCTCCCTGCAGTGTCCTAGTTCCTCTGCCCTTGGCCTACGGGACATAGGTCCCTAGAATGGGTGCTTCCCCATGTCGGAGCAGGCTGTGCCGGGTGCACACCGAATCTGCTCCTGGCGCTGTGTCGGCCAGCGGCCGCCCGGGTCCTGTCGGGGCAGCTCAGAGAAGATGGGGGCGGGGAGGCGGGCGCTCTGGGACCTGCCACGGGGCAGGGCTGTTTCGTGTCCACGCCCCACAGACGTGGTCTCCTATCCTTGGCACCCACAGGGCTAAACGCCAGGGGCTTTGATTTCACAGGTAAAAGTCGGGGTTCAGTGAAGTGTAGATTCCAGTGTCAACAGGTCCTGGCAACCGAGGGAGGGCAGCTGGGGGCCCCCAAAGGTGGGGGCGGTGGGGGGGCCCCGGTCCTCGGCGTCCGGACGTTCTGGGGTGGCCCGGCTCACGAGACAGCTGAGAAAACGCTCCCAGGCCCTGGAGGCTGAGGGCAGCCCTTGGTTTCTGTTTTTGTTTTGTTTGTAAATCCTCACCAGAGGATAAGTTTTTATTGGTTTTAAAAAGGGAGGGAGGGAGGAAGGAGAGAAGGGAGTGAGAAAGGGAGGGAGGAGGGAGGAGGGAGGAACACTGATGTAAGAGAGAAACAGCCATTGGTCGCCTTCCATACACATCCCAACTGGGGATCGAACCCGCAACCTAGGAGTGAGCCCTGACCAGCCATCAAACCCCTAGCCTTTGGGAGTGCAGGACGATGCTCCAACCCACTGAGCCCCTCCCCCCCCAGGCCAGCGGGCAGCCCTTTGTGACAACTTTATTCCCACCCACAGGCCAGGAACGCAAGGGCTTTGCAGACGGACAGGGCGGGGGCCCGGCCAGCCCGGGTGCAGGAACGGTCAGCGCCCAGGAGCGGCGGGGGGCCGGGCCTGTGAGGGGTGAGCATCCCTTTCCCGCATCGCGGCTGCAGTCGGTGGTGCTCCTCACCCCGCACCCCGCACCCCGCACCCCGCACCCCGCACCCCGCACCCCGCACCCCGCAGCCGGCAGCGGAGGGCACACCCCATCGCCTTCGGGGAGCTCTCCCCGGGGTCCCAGGTCCCGCAGCCCGGGGAGGGGGTTCACCTGTGTACGTCCAGTCGTGCGTGGCCAGGACTCCCAGGAGCAGCAGGGACAGGTACGGCAGGACGACCAGAGACCTCATGGCTGCAGGTGCGGGGCCGGGGCTGGCTCGGGGCGCCCTCCTTTTAAAGGCTGCGGGCCCAGCTGTAGGCACAGGGACCACATCCGGCTGGCTGTCCCGCCCCGCTCCCAGGAAGAGCACTCCCACCAGGCCCCTGGCACACGTGGCGGGCGGGGTGCGCAGCCCGTGGCGCCGCCGCGGCCAGGTAGCCTATCGGGTTGGCCGCCCCGTGTCCTGACCCGGGAGAACTCCCGTCAAGGCCACACAGGACGGCCTTTGTGGACGGGACACCCCGGAGGGCAGGAACGAGCTGCTTCCGGCCCCTCGCTCCCGGCCAGCACGCTGGGGCGCGGCCAGGGGCCTGGCAGGGGCATCGCCGGGGCCTGCACTCCCTTGCCAGGTCCCGCCTGGCATTTCCTGGGTCTCGGCAACTGTCACCGGCCACCGCCGCTGCCTGCGGCTGCCTCAGCCGGCACCTCCGGGCACGACTGCCTACGCGGGGCTGGGATGGAGCCCGCGGGGAGGCCAGCGTGTCTGCGCCTCCCTCTGCATGCAGGGCCCCACCGAGCTGCTGGGGCGCATGTGTCCCCACGAAATGCATCTGTTCCATCACCCAAAGCAGCGGGACATGGCAGAGCCAAGCCTGGCCGAGCGTCAGAGTGGTGCGTGGCCTGACCTCCTGTCCCCTGGAACTGAGCCCACGAGAGCCCTCTGATGGGCACTGGCTGATGGGCCCGCTCTTCACCTGCCCTTCAGAGAGGGCACAGGCCAAGGGCAGCCTCGCTGTTGGGTGCTGGGGCCCTGGCCCACACAATGGACCCCTGTTCCAGAGCCCAGAGCTGGGCCCCAGCCTCGACATCTCACTGCCAACTCCCCCCGCACCCCCGCCCCCAGCCCAGGGGTGCCCAGGGGCAATGGCACGTGGATTCAGCTGGTGAAGGGCGTGGGAAGGGCAAGGACTCTGAGGCCAGACAGACGGAGCACAGATCCCGCCGCTCGGGGTTTGTGGGACGGCGGCGGGTCCCTCAGCCCCACCCGGGCCTGCGTTCCCGGGGTTCGGAGACGCACCTCCTGGGGATCAACGGCGAACTGTGTGTTCCCAGAGCAGCAGCCGGGACGTGGCAAACGGCACTTTTACCTACTCGGCCCCTCACCCTGTGGAGAGAGGGTGTGAGGGTCACTGGCTCCCAGCCTGTTAGCGGGGGGACTAGAGGCCACAGGGAAGGAGTCCGTCCGCCACGGAGCTCTCTCCCCGTTTGCCGGGGAGAAGCCCGCTCTGCACCTTACAGAACCCCGCTGGGCCCGGCCTGCCCAGGGCCGCCTCGCAGACCCCGCAGCTCCCGTGGGATCCCACTCTGCTGGGGACAGCCAGGCCGGCCCGGCCTGTAGGCAGCCGGGGACCCGGCTCCCGCTGGCGGGAAAGCACAGTGGAGCGAGCTGGGGTTTTCCTGGGATCAGACAGAAGGAGAGCTGGACGGCTGGGTCCCGACGTGGAGGAGGCGGGAGGTGTGGGCTCCGAGGCGGAGGGTGGCTGGAGGGCCAGGAGCTCAGAGGTGGCGAGAGCAGCGGTCGGCAAACTCATTCGTCAGCAGAGCCAAGCAACAGCAGCACAGCCACGGAAATTCCTGTGGAGAGCCGAATTTCTTAAACTTCTACCGCCACTCCTTCCAAGTGGACTCGCCCGGGCCGTGGTATTTTGTGGAAGAGCCACACTCAAGGGGCCAAAGAGCCGCATGTGGCTCGCGAGCCGCGGTTTGCAGACCCCGGGGCTAGTGCTGCACAAAGCGGGGGACAGGCGGGGCCGCGGGGGGAGAGGACGCAGGAGCAGAAGCTCGGAGACAGGAGGGCTCAGGAGCGGCCCCCGCAGGCTGCGCCGGGGAGAGGGCGGGTGTCCATTGCCCGGGGCTCCTGCCTCCGTTCCCCACGGAGGCCCGCTGCCCGGGGTCACGCCCTGGGAGGCCCGGGGAGCCCCAGTGCCTTCACTGCCCCCCAAGTCCTCTCAGCTCCTCTGAGTCTGTGGTCACAGCAGCCCCGGTGGAGCCCCCGGCAACTCTTCGTCCATCAGGCCTGGGGCTGCTCTGGGGCCTCCGGTCCTTGGGGGGAGCCTGAGGGGCGGTGCCCCGGCTAAAGGGGGTCAGGGTGGGTCACTAAGTCCATTACGCCATCGGCCCAGCCAGGCCGGTCATTAAGGAGGGAACGTGGCCAGGAAAGAGGGTCCCTCTGTCTCCTGGGCACGTGCGCCATCGCCGGGAGCCACAGGCAGGCAGCGTCACGCGTGTTGCCTTCTTTCTAACTTCCTGTCGTCTTTGACCCTAAATTTTCCATTCGCTGGGTTTCCTTGGATCGTGAAGCGCTGTGCTGGTTTGGGGGGGGGTGGGCGCAGGGAGGATGGTCTGTGGTTTCCAAGTCACATTGGACTCTGACTGGCTGCTGCTTCCATCCAACCGTGTCTCCATGCATCGAGGCTGTCTCAGCCTGAGCCTGTCTGGGAGATGAGCTGACAGGCCTGGCATTTTCACCACAACATGGTGTCAGCACCAGAAAGGAGCCATTGTTCCTCCCCGGTGCCGCCATGGCGCCATGACGCAGGCCGCCGAGGCCCGGAGAAGGGAGAGGGGGATGCGGTGGCCCAGGGGAGCGGGAGGTGCCATCCGCCAAGACAAACAGGGAAGCACCCAGGACAGGAGGGGACCGGCCGGGTGCTCAGGGAGGAGGGGACACCGGGTGCTCAGGGAGGAGGGGACCGGCCGGGTGCTCAGGGAGGAGGGGACCGGCCGGGTGCTCAGGGAGGAGGGGAGCAGCTGGGTGCTCAGGGAGGAGGGGACCGGCCAGATGCACAGGGAGGAGGAGAGCAGCCGGGTGCACAGGGAGGAGGGGACCAGCTGGGTGCTCAGGGAGGAGGGGACACCGGGTGCTCAGGGAGGAGGGGACCGGCCGGGTGCTCAGGGAGGAGGGGACCGGCCGGGTGCTCAGGGAGGAGGGGAGCAGCCGGGTGCTCAGGGAGGGGACACCGAGTGCACAGGGAGGCCCCAGCACCCAGGCGAGCCGAGGCTGAGGCTGGCGCAGGCCTGGCCTGGGGAGGATCTGGCTACAGAGGAATGTGCCCATTTGGGCCGTGAGTAACACAGACAGGACTTTGTTCTGTCTCCCTCTGGAGCTGCCGCTCTGGAACCATAAAGACAAGCCGTTCTGGACGGTTCTGTAGCGGCTATGGCCCGGTGCTCCCTGAGCAGCAAGGCGTCTGGTCCATCTGGGATCAGAACTTCTAAACACATCACCCTCTTCCCCGCTTTTCTTAAAAGATAAATGTAATTAAACTTAACGACGGAGGCCCCATTCGTATGGAAATTATTATCCTGCCTTGTAATATCTAGATGCCCACAGGGCCTACAACTGTATATGGCTGCTCTCCCCATGCGAAAGGAACCCTAGCTCACTGTTCTTTATTCCCACACGAGGCCCGGAGCACAGAATCTGTGCACTCCAGGTGGTCCCTCCGCAGCGGGGAGCCGGCCTAAGCTGGCAGGCGGACACCCTTGGTGCCGCTGCGGAGGTGGGAGAGGCTCCAGTCCGCCCGCCGCTGTGCTCGCCCGCCGTGAGCCTGGCTCAGGGCTTCCAGCCGAGCCATGCTTCCCCTGTGGGAGCACACTAACCACCAGGGGGCAGCTCCTGTGTTGAGCGTCTGCCCCCCTGGTGGTCCGTGTGTGTCATAGCAACCAGTTGTTCCTCCGTTTGGTCGATTTGCATATTAGCCTTTTATTAATAGGATATCTGATATGGGGGGTGGGCAGTCAGCTAGCTTAGCTGCTTAAGCAATGTATACCTACGCTCCATGGAGGTCAAACTATTGACCTCCATGGCCAACCGGAACAGAAACGGGACTCGGTGCAGGCACAGGAGTCAGTCCTGCAGCTGGGCCAGGGAAGCGGGGGAAACAGGCTGAGAGACCCGGGCAGGGCTGGGCAGCAGGGCACCTGGAGGGGCCCACGTGCTGAGCTCATTTGTGACAGTCAGCATTGCAATGCCAGCTGCCAGCTGCCGCCTCTGAGGGTCGTCTCTGCCTCTCTTCCCCTCCTGGCTTCTTATTTGCTGCATTGTTATCTGTTTGCCCAGAAACCAGATGACTATCCTTCTTAGAGCGGCAGGCACAGGAGGGGACACGGAGGGCCCGAGGCTGGGCTGACACCACGCCCGGGCGGCACGCGCGGCAGGCCTCTCCCCGAGGAGTTACAAGTTGCACAACTTCAGTCCCACAGAGAATTCCCTGGGACACAGCCTGGCCGAGAGACAGCGCCCGGGACACCTGGAGGTGGGTGTCTGCGCCGGAGCAGGGCGGGAGGCGGGGAGGGAGGACAGACGGACACAGCCCAGCCTGGCAGACGCCCAGCTGAGGAGCTTGCAGGTGAGAGGGCAGCACCCACTCAGCAACCAGCAGCCCTGGGGCCGCGGCAGCAGCAGCCTGGACGGCTGGCACACGTCATGGCGGGGCCGCAGGGGGGTGATGGGGCAGAGGGCAGGTCGGGGTGTTGGGTGATGGCCCTCCTCAGCGGGTCACAAAGGGGCAGTAGCACCCTTCTAGCCTGAGTGGCCAGTACACGTTCCGGCTAGCCCCGGTGGAACAAAGTGGCCGATGTGAGAACCCTGCTCCCCGCACCCTCCCCCCTCACTCATTGCGGGGAAACCGATGGGGGCCAGGCAGGGACCACCCTCCTTTCTCTACAAACTGCTCGGCAAACAGGCAGCCTGGGAAGGCACGTGGCCAAGGAGCCTCCCACAGAATTCAAAACCTGGAAGTCAGACTCTCTCCCCTATGGAGACCACACCCGGGAGCAAACCCTCCCTCTGGGCTGGTCTAACAGGCAGGAGGACAGTTGGGAGCAATCAGGCCAGCAGGGGGGGCAGTAAGAGGCAACCAGGCAAGCGAGGGGTGGGAGAACTGTTAGGGGTAACCAGGCTGGCAGGGGGGGCAATTGGGGGTGACGAGGCCGGCAGGAGAGTGTGTGGGGGGAGATAGTTAGGGG